ACAAAGCTTAAACTTGTTCTTCATAATAATTTTAAAAACAATACTAGCTGCCTATTTAATTTAAAAAAACAGCAAAAAATATCCACCTCCCTTTCCATTTCTTATAAGGAGTCTTGAAGTTTAAATCTCCTCACTGTGATAGATATGCTTGCTTGGATCTGTGTAGCTCTTGGAAGTCCAGGGGCTTCAGGCTGCTGGCCCCGTGCTGCCCGGGGTCCCTAGGGACAGCTCTGTCCGCCATTAGGGAATTTTTTTCCCAAGAACCCCCTGTAACATTTCACGAACCCCCATGGGTTCACAAACTCCAGTTTGGGAACCACTGGTCTATGACCACCTACCTGTTGAGAGGGCATCACCTTTCCTCTCTCCACTTGTTTGCAGCTGGTTCTGGGGAGCGTCTCTGAATTGCAATATCTGTGTCAATGTTCAAACAGCTGTTGCTTCATCCTGTGAGTCTGAAAATGGGGGCAAAATGCAAACTGAGGAATGAAGATTTGCCCCCAGATGGGACTGAGACCAGGGAATTAGCTGATTTGGGAATATGGCAGGCAAAAAAACTGAAAACTAAATTACCTGATGGAGACACTTACTAGGATGTTAATTGCTCTTACTTTGCTCTTTGCTCTTACTAGGATGTTAATTTCCAAGTACGAACCTGCAACAGTTTGCCACTTACAATGTGGTTCTATTGCAGAAGGTGGCTAGGTAAAAATGCCCCCCTTAGTCAGCAGATCCATGCTGCACACCCTCCAACTTTAGTGGTAAAAATAAGATTCTACTTCTCTTAGCTCAGCTGAAACAACACAGCAAAGCAATTGAGCTGGGTTGTCATCATGAACAGAATTTTTAACTAAATTCTAATTGTGGGGCCAAACTCCGCCTCGTTATACCAGTGCTGCTCACCCCTCCCGGAGATAATGGAGCTACCTGAGTGTAAGTGAGTGCAGGATGTAAAGACAACAGCATTACACACGGGAGGGCAGAATCTGACTTGCTGTCACTGGTGATGATGTAGGTCTGAAATAACCCAGCTTGATTCTCAGATCCCAAGGCAGGTTTGGAGACTGGCCACTGTTGGTAAGCAGAACAAACTTAATTTGGAGTCACTGAGAGAAGATAAACATGAAGGCCTGGGGTAACATGTCTGCAGAATCGCTTTTCAGATTAGAGCTCCACTCTTCATTTGTGCATCTTTTAAAGGGAGACTTGCAGGTTGTAGAGAGGGAGCTATATTGCACCATTCGCTTTTAAGCAGAAGTCTCCATGGAAGAGAGAGAGCCGATCTGCCTAAAACCAGATGGTATAGTTGACCTGCTTGGGTCATTAGTTGGATTTAAATCTGGGACCTTCAGATCTAAAAGCATGACTCTTCTCCTTGAACTAAAGGACTAAATCACCTAGGTGGAAATAATATTCTTGTAAACATTTTGTATGCACAAGGCACTACAGCAGAGCAAATGCCCACATTCTTTTAGAATGGGTTACACAGGCATTATAGGACACCGGACTCTTTTTTTAGGAACCTTCATATTGGCACAAACCAGGTTTATTTCCCTCAATTTTCTGCAAAAATATAGCTATGTAGCAGCCTGAATCATAATGACCATGGCTACAAGCAGGGAGTCACCATGCTGTGAACATTTTAATTTCCTGAGGCCAGCACTTCTTGTGTCACACTGGAAGGGTGACTTTGGTTCCCCCCCCATCACTATGAATGCATTGTTAGTTCTCGCCACCTACTGCATCTGCTGCCTCTTTCTCCGCAATTGTATGTGTGATCCTGGATCTTGGAAACCCCACCTGCCCTATCGAAGACTTCTGACCTGCAGAGGGTATTCCATTGACTAACATTGACTTCCTGTACCAAGCTGGTGGAATCTTAAAAGTTCCAGGATTGGAGTTGCTTGGTTGCTTCAGGAGATTCTAAGGACGCTGCAGGCAGGGTTCAGGAGGCCCTTGCTTAAACAAATTTCAAAGGCTGGTTACAACCCCTGCTTTCAGTGCTGTTGGTAAATCCTTTATAAAGACCAGAGGCCAGTCGAACAGGAAAGGCCCAGAAACCCAAATCCCTTTAATACAGATTATTTCACTCTGACGCAGGTTACAAGGAGCTTAGCTTTCATTAAATAGGTCAATCTGCTTTGAGAACAGTAATACCTGGGTATATTTGATCTATCTCCCCCCTCCCCTCCCTCTCAGATTGGAAACGGAAACAAAGAGCAAAGCTCTTATCTGTCAGTGGGCAAGTTTTAATATTTCATAAGTGCCTGATGGTGACATAATGGGTGACACATTCCAGCAGAGGCTGTTGGGAGAGGAAGATTTGGGGGAGAGGGATGAGAAACTTGGTCTTGTTTTTAACCTGAAGATGTGTGTTTTGATTAGAAAACAGCATATTGTGTGTGCTGATTGGAAAGACCCTTTCAAAGGATGTCAGATACTTTGCCCTTTCAGTGCCAACAATGGGTCAAACCCCACTAATCCTGACTCAGGCTAAATTCCCATGAACTTCAATTTGAATTTCACTCAAGGAAAGATTGCTGGGTGGTTTTGCCCTCTGTCAGCTTAACTGAGCAGAGGGTTCTGTGTTCCGAGCTGTAAAATCAGGAACAGGTACTTCTCGAAACTACTACTAATTCCACCCCCCCCCCCAAAAAGGAAGAAAGATGAGCAATGTTTAAAATATTCAGCAAATTTATTTATAGTCCACAACAGAATGAACAGAACATCTTCTGCTAATTGCATACAAGACATTGAGCAGGATGATGTCAGCTACAGAGGAAATGCATAATTCTCGATTTGGCTTAAAAAATTAGTTATATGTTATTCCCCCTCCCCACACTCATCTCTTGCATGGGAGCTGGGCTCCTTTATGATGCATGTAGGGCCTGATCCTAAGAAGGCTGAGCCCCCTTCCACTCCCGTGAGGTTCAGCAGTGGTCAGGACTGAGCCTCAAGTTAGTGCGAGCGCTGGCTTGGCAGACGGAAATCATGCAAGTCAAATGGCCAGCTAGAGAGATTTGTTCGTATGTGGTGCTGACTAAGCCAGTCCTGATATGACTTCTACTTTGCCACTAAAGTATCAGAAGCTGGTACTTTGCCGTGTTCCAGCACAAACGCTTGACATGCAGAATTGCTACAACAGGCGCTAAAAGATAACCCTGCCACCTCTTCCCACGTCAGTTGTTTTTTATACGGGAGGGAAGAGAATGGACAATTCCTTCGCTGAAAAGCCTTTACTGTCTTTTAATGCTACTAAACCTTACACTGATACATGCCTACTTAAAATGTATCTTTTGTACCTCCGAAGTAAAGTGTTTCATATCCTTTAATATCAAATACACTATTACAGAGAAATCACAGGATGCAGCAGGGGTCTGAGTCGTAGTCTTGTCCACACATCTTACTCAAAGGGGAAGTGGTAGTGTTGTAGACAGCTCTGCCTCAGACAGGAAGCTTGGATTCCTTGCTGTCTTATTTCAATATACATTTTTTTTCTGTTGATTTAGGTTATTGCGCAAGTGGGTTTTTTTGGGGGGGGGCCTCCCCAAAAAATGAAGACACCCATAATCACATCGGCTCTTGGAACATTTCAGCCTTGGTGGTTGCAGACGGATACACTTCATCTGTTGGACAGGTAGCAGCATGGGAGGTTGCAAGGTGAGCGCCTCATGTTGCCCTGCCAATGCCTCAAATCTGTCGTAGGAGGCTCAGTCACACTCTCTAGCTCATTTAGTGCTTGGCTTCTGAGCCTGTCAGCAATTTAGTGCTAAATGTGGGGCAGCTTAGGGGTACTTGACCACTGGGGACTGGACTGAGATCACCCAAGCCGTGGAACTGCAATCTGAGGAATAACTCTCACTACCACCCTAGGCTAGGTTTGAGCAGATGAAGCCTTTCACCCCTAGGTTATTTCCCATTTCCACATCTCTGAGCCTTCCTGTCATCATCTTGCTTCCCCTCGGTTCTGTTAATCCACAGGCCTTCAAACTCCCGAGAGGACTCTGGCTGTTACCGACATGAACGCAGGTGAATTCCAAAGTTAAAATGATGGTCAAAACAACCCATAGTTCCAGCGCAGCTTCCAACATCTACCTCCTCACTGCTCTCTCCTGCTGTAAAGGAATCTGCCCAGCCTCAGATAAGATGGTGGGGGGAAGTAGAGGCAGGGAGAAGAGGGCTCTGAACAAGTCGCTTGCAAACTTTGCTCCCTTCTGTGCCCTTCTTTGGACTTGTGTGCCATATAGGAAAATGCTGCACATTTCAGGCTGGCAGATGGCCAAGCCATCACAATGACGGCTCTTAAGATCTGGAATTGAGACTTAGCTCATTCCCCACTTCTAAAAAATCTCCCTGCAAACATTTCTCCATGGTGCCTTTCCCCGTCAATGATTGCTATTGGCTCCTTATTATCTTCCTCTCCTGCATACCCATCACTAGATTCAATTTGTATTTTAAGAGGGTGTTTGTGTTTTAAATGGTTAAATTATGTCTGTATTAAATATTTGTTCTTGCATCGTGATCTGAGTGCATTGCTGGGGGCAGACGGGGTTGAGGGGTATCTCTCCCCAAATAATGTAATGAATAAATGAGCAACTTCCAAGTAACTGGTAGCCTGGTATGTGGACAGAGTAAATATGTCAATTTATCAGGCCCCCTAAAATCCTTGGCCGTGATAGTTATAATAATACTTAGCACCTTTGAAACTTAGATCCCTACGTGCTTTGCCAAAGGCGAGCAAGCATTATTATCCCTGTTTTACAGATGGAGAAACTCTGTCACAGAGGTTAAGTGACTTGCTCACAGTCGCCCAAGTCAAGTGGAATTGACTTCCACCTTGAGCTAGGGAGGTCAAGTCTGAAGTTAAGCTTTATAGTCTCAAGGTTTTCTTAATGCCTGATTTAAGTGTTGATTGATAGAAGTGCAGCAGGTTCAACAAATGTGTGTGTATATTAAACTAAATGGAAATCAGCTGTGAGAGCCTAGAGAAGAAGGCTGCCTTCTTGCTGCTAAATTTAGGTATGTCTCCTTTTTTCCCCTCCCATAGATGTGCTGCACTTCAAAAGGGTTTCGTTTTGGGGGGCTGCCCCACCCAATGGGAAGATCATGCTACAGGGTAAGCAAAATTCTTACAGTCTTGGTTTTGTAGGAGGAAAGGGTCCGAAGTTTGTCTGTGAGTGGCGGGGGTCAACTGATTACACAGCCTCCCTTCTCCTTAAAAGGGTTCTTATCCTCAGGAACACCTTTCAAAAGAGGGTCCTCTGCTGCCACGGATTCTATATACTCCTTGAGTTCTTTGCCCGTCTTGGAGATCTGGAGAGAAAGAAGAATCGCTTTTTAGATTATGATAATGAGATCTCATTACATAGGATTGGCCAGACGGTATCCGACTCATGGTCCCTCTACTCCACTGTCGGACACAGGACAGTGGCGAGTGCTAGATGATTCAGAAGAAGGTGCAGGAAGCCTCTCCCCATGTAGAAGTCATCCTAGCCCCTAATTGTTAGAGATTGGCTGAAGATTTTGGAGCAGGCAGTTTTAGATCCCTACCAGACCCGTTTCTTAGCATTAACTGTTCTAATTCTGAATAGCCTTGTTATCCCTATAAATGTCCAATCCCTCTCTGAATCTTGCACCTTGATGGGAATTATTTTTTTGAAGCAGGCCACTTCCCTGGATCAGCAGCAGGAATTTCCCAGAACCCTGGGGCATGGTGCTGAGAACCCTCAGCAAGCCAGTAAAAGCTCCCTGGAGTGAGGGTACTCAACACCAGGAGGAGTCAACAACTTCGCCCTCTGGCACTATGGAACTCTCAACAATAAGGGTAAAAGCTTATCTGTACGGGAGACAGAACCTTCTTCGGGGCTGGTCCGAGACTGTGTAATGAACTCCCCCAGGCACTCAGGGCTATAGCAGACCTCATCGCTTTTCACTCCAAGTGCAAGGCACATTTTTTGACCTTGTCTTCTCTAATGTAAACGTGTAGCAACAGATATATATTTAACAAATAAACCAAAAACCCTAGCAAAACAAGACATTCCCCTGCACACACTTCTCCCTCTGGGGAGAGGATAAGAGAACAAATACACGACAGATACACGTTGCTTAATGCACTACAGGAAGGTGCTCAGATACTCTGGTGATGAGTGCGGTATAAAAACCTATATAGAATAGAATATCAACGCTGGGCTGATGAAACAGCCAATGAACTCCATGCAGAGAGACCGCACTGCTACCCTGCTCCTGTTTTAAGAACTCTGGCCATGTTAATTCAGCTGGGTTATACTGTAGAATTTAATGGTACAAGATGGAAATTGGCTAAGACTTTTCAGTCCTCTAGTCAATCTCTTCCCTCAGCAAGTCCAGGATTTTTGTCTTCTCTAGCACGTGACTTTGTCTTCTCTGCACCATACAACTGGATTATTTTAAGGGGTCTCCTATACAAATTAGTTCTCCTGCCCCTTAACCTTTTTTTTTTTAAACCAAATGAAACATTGCATATAAGTGTCTTAAATCTAATGTCATTCTCCATCAGTTTGGGGCCTGATCCTGCTATCATTGAAGTCAGTGGCAAGATCTTGCTGTTATCCAAGCTCCCATGGACTTCAGTGGAACTGGGCCAGGCTTTTTGTGCAGCAACAGACACTGCGGGACAGATTTTTGAAAAGATTGTGGTGTGTTGAGTGCTGAATGTCAGGATGAGGCTAAACTAAAAATCTAGCCCCCTGAGACCAATCCTTCTTTGTACTGAGTGCCCTCTTCTCCCATAGACTATAACAGGAGTTGAGGGCACTTGGCACCTTACATGATTGGGCTGTGTTGACAAACTGCTATTTGCCATGTGCCTTTAAATACTCAAATGGCAGCCAGAGAAAACTGTGTTCCAGATACTCAGGGACCAAGATCCTCATGCCTCATTGATTTCAGTGGGAGTCAGGCACCTAAGTACCTTTGAGATCTGGGCCCAAATCATTTTCTCTTTGTGCTCTCACTAATCGTCTTTTCCTCTAGCCTTTTCATATGCACTAGAAGCCTGAAGTTTGCTATCCGGACAAGTAAAACACAAGGCTAAATCCTATCTTTAAGGTGGAAATGTGAAAACTCAGTCACTGGTTTTGTGTTTGAGATTTAATTGAAGGCCCTTAAATTGGGGCGAACGTTGGGCTAGATGGTTACCCCAGGGATTAATTTATCCCATTGTGCTTAGACCCTAATAGAAATACTTGCCATTTGCCTTTCATTCTTCACCTCCTTTTTCAGCTGGTCAAGTTCCATCTTCAGCAGTTCTTTTTCTGTCAGATCTTGAGCCATGTTGCCCTGCAACCAGAGTGGAAGCCCTGTTACTGATTTACATGCATCTTCTGGAAATAGCAGGTATGATCCACAGTCTAGCTTCTCTTAGTACCCAGTGAAGTCAGTGGGGCCAGGAGACACATTAAGGCTATCTAGCTGCTTCCCCATTCAGAGCTGGCATGGAAAATTCTTGAATTTCTCCAGCATTCCCAATAGAAGATATAATCAGTTAAACCTTGATGGGCCAGATCCTCAGCTGGTTTAAACTGGCAAAGTTCTATTAGAGCCAATGGTGCCATGCTGGTTTAGGTAACATAGGAATTTCCACATTAGATCAGACCAATTGTCCAGCTAGTCCAATATTCTGTCACCAGCTGTGACCAGTATTAGGGGAAGGTGTAAGAAACCCTGCAGTGGGCAGTTATGGGATTAGCTGCTACCAGAGAGAGTCTTCCTGGCCCCCCAGTAGCTAGGCTGATGCCCTGAAGCATGAGGGTTAATAGCTCTTCCAAAGCTAATTTTTGTTTTTTTTTACTATAATTGGATATTTTTGTTATCCAGGAGAGCATCTAATGGCTTGATGCTGATTTACACTAGCGGAGAATCTAGGCTGATATTAAACCCCCCCCCACCCAATTCAATATATATTTTAGGTGGGAGATTTTTGCACAGGCACAAACCCTATTCCTTTGGGTAGGTTTGTTACTGGGTTGCTATTTCCAGCTAAATTCTAATACTTTGCCCTTCTCTAGCACCTTCCATCCAAGAGTCCCAAAGCGCTTTATGAACATTAATGAATTAAGTGGCATAATGCCCCTGTGAAATAGGTAAGTATTATCCCCATTTTACAGACTTGGTGACCTGAAGATCAGACCGCTCTAGTCACTTGCTCACTGTCACAAAGCAAGTCAGTGGCAGCGCTGGCCATGGAACCCAGGAGTCCTGGCTCTCTGTCCTAGCCCAAACCATCATCTGTGCTCTCACTGTATAAAAAGCAACATGAAAACAACTTCCTAGTTCTAACTTAAACCAAAGGTGGACAGCTGTTAGGTCGGAAACACTGTCCTTCGTTCACCTGCTATGTTTAATTATTGAATGTCTCAGAATGCTGTGGACTGGATTTTCAACCATAGTAAAGCCGCGTAACTCCCTAGAAGTCAATGGGTGTGTGCTGATTTACATCAGCTGAGGTTCTGGCCCTTGGAGTCTGAAATTAGTTTCGTAGTTGATGTGGAAGGGGAAAACAAATGAAGTATTATTCTGATTTCTCCCTCCCCCCCGGCCTTTGTCAGGTTAAGCCAAAACTTAAATATCTCTAATGCTTTTAGGGTTTGTATTTTTTGTGTGTGGCAATTCTGCTTTAACTTGCAATAATTTAACAATTAACTTACAAGAGTATTAAAAGGAAACAGCACTATAAGGAGATTTTAAACTGTCCAGAGAAACGGAGCTTGTTCTGAGTATCTAAATATGTATTTAGACTATACTTCTGATCTTTATTATTTATAAGCTGGGAGATAGCAGAGGCAATTAGTTAAGCAACGCCACATAAAATAGAATCCCATTTATGGAAATAGAACAGGGGATATGGAATCTATGGAGAAGTTAGGGTTTGGAAAAGAATGAATAATCTTTAGAATAAGTGATGTGCGTGAAATAATCATTATTATCCTAGCAGTATTCAGTAAGGCTTCTGGGAAGAATAAATGTGGCTGCAACTGGTCTGATGTTTGGGTCTAGTTCAGAGAGACTTCTTAAGCAAGAGTGATCTCTTTTACATAGAGTGTCTTTAAAAAAAAATGTTATTCAGAATACCAAAATTAAGTGGCCCACATGATCATAGAATATCAGGGTTGGAAGGGACCTCAGGAGGTCATCTAGTCCAACCCCTGATGGATTAATCAGTTTCATATTTAGAATCAAAACACGTTTGGAGGTCTGGGTGCAAAATATATCTAAGTATAAAGCTGAATGGATTCATTTTAACACACATACACGCTGTGATTCTTCCTGGTTAAGGCAGGTAGCCTGTCTATTGCTAGCAGTGTTATTTGCCATTTTTCTTTGCTCCATCACTTCGTAGGAGTGCACTCTCTATAATGCACTGCAATAGAAATATTCAATATTTCTCGCCCTAGCTTCCTCTACCTACAGTGGTATATAAATACTGTCAAATCCCATAGCTGAGACTGTTACACTTTTGTGCCGACCTGCAACCCATTGACACCTGAGTGCTAAACCAAGGAAAAGCGAGGCTTCAAAGAGAAGCCAGGACACAGCCTGGAGCACAGCAAAGCAGCCTATGCTCTGAGGAAATGAAGGGAACTTACCTACTGGGGTGAGGGCTTTTTCCTTTCCGAAATGCTGAGAGGTTTTAGAGATACATCTGTACAGGCTGCTGAGAGGATGGCCTCTGCTCTTTCCTTCTGCTTCCCACTTGAAGACTCCTTCAGACTTACCAGATGGCCAATGGAGCAGATGTCTTCAGTTCCTAATCTGATAATAGACTCAGTTTATTAAGCTGGTCAGGTGTCAGGCATTAACCTCAAAACCCAGGGTAACCGGACAGGGGGCTGCAGAGGCAGATTTTAAAGCTGATCAATAATTTCATAGCTGGCAACTAACATGCTGCTTAAGCGTTGGTCCCAGGATATTAGAGAGAGGTGGATGAGGTAATCCCTTTTATTGGACCAACTTCTCTATTGGAAGTAGATGTTACGTGATGCTTCCTTTTTCTTCACGTTGTGGCATTTCTATTTCAGACGGCAAAATTCGAGATCTTCCCTGGTTGTTGGCAGAGTTCTTGTAGCTGTGTGGGTCCAATGAAAGCGGTTACCTCGCTCACCTCGTTCTACATGAGGGCAGTCTAGAAAGCACCTCCAAACGCTTGGGAGTCGGATTTCCAGTCCAGGCTGGTCATGAGTGAAAAGAATTGCTAGAGATGGGTACAATAGGCCAAGTTATCTGGGATTTTGTCCTAGGGCCATCTTGAGCCATTGCTGCCTGAAGGCCACTCAGTCGCTTTGTGAACTGAGCTTGGTGGGTCTGAATCATGTTCCTAGTGAGCAGGGGTCAATAATCTAAACCACCCTCCCTTCTCCCCTTCTCACTCACAACCATCATTGGCGGTCTCCGCAGAGAGAGATAAGGATCGAGTGGGCCTCTTTGCCCCCTCTAAGCCAGGACTGAGGACTTTTTCCCATGTTGCTGGTAGGGCAACATGGGAAAAAGTTTGCATTGCTTCTTCTATAGATAGGAGACTGACTCCCCGTGTAGACATGGATAGGTTGACTGAAGGATTCTTCCATTGAACTAGCTACCACCTCTCGGAGAGGTGAATTAACTACATTGACGAAAAACCATCTTCTATCGATGTCAGAGGCGTCTACGCTGTGACACAGCTATTGCACTATAGTTCTGCTGTAGCAGCCGTAGTGTAGACATACCCTGAGAGCTTGTCTACACAGGGAGCTATTCCAGAATAGCTACTCCTGATTATCTCCATGTGTGGATGGTCTTAATCTGCTTTAAATTCACACCCTACCTTATTCCGGATTAATTTTCATGTGTGGACAAGTCCAAGTAGGAGGGCTCCTGCACTTGGGACGTAAGAGGGATTTTCAGAAGCATTGAGGGTGGGATTCACGATGGGATTTAGGTGCCTAAATCCCATTGATTTGAATGGGAGTTAGGCGCCAAAGTCTTTTTCTGAATCCTACCCTTAGTGTTTGGCCTCCCTCTGCTGCCTTTGGAAATCAAGGTAAAGTTAAATTTTCCTGGATTTCCTCAGGAGCAGTCAGGCCAATGCTGAGTGCTTTGGGAAACCCCGCCCTTAAGCCCTTTATTCAGTTGCAGATGGCCACATGGCAGCAAGTTGTGCTCCTCTGGGAGGATAAACTGACAGGCAGGCAGGCCCACGTGCTATTTTTATGAGGATTCTAGAATCCCACAGATCTTCGAGGGAAGAGAGGATTGCCTTATGGCAAAGGCACTGGCCTGGGTCTTGAGTGGCAGCTTGCCACGGTCTCCCTACAAAATGGGACGATTCGTTTGTCTGGGATTTAGACCTTCCCATTCACCCAAATGGCTACTGGGTGTCCAAATCTGCTGGGCAGTTTTGAAAAATCTCAGCCTTAGATTGCAATCAATTCAGGACAGGAGTGGTCTTATTTTGAGCCTGTACAATGCCGAGTGCAAAGGTGCCCTGATCTCAGGCAGGGCCGCTAGGTGCTACCATAATATAATTAATATTTAATCCTCCCAGGAAAGATCTCTTGAGGAGGTTCTCTCCTGTAGGCCTCCTCTTGCAATATTTCCATTCTCTACAGGAAAGACAAGAACTACATAATTTAGCATTGGAGGTCTGCTCCTTCCCTAGAGGCAGGATGTTCTCCCTCCCCTACTACTACTTCTCCCCTTGGAAACCCTTTAGGTCTTAAGTGACCGCACTATTACCTACATCACTGAGCTAGAAATCCATGTGCCAGTTTCTTTCCTGGATTCAGCAGAGAGTGTGGGGGAGGAAGAGTCTGTGAGGTCCCAGAGTGCTGGAGAAGGACAAACATCATATCTGTCTTTAAAATGGGGAACAAATAGGACCCAGGGAATTATAGATCAGTCTAACTTTTATACCTGGAAAGATACTAGAACAAATGATTAGACAATCAGTTTGTTGGCATCTAGAGGATAATGGAGTTATAAGGAATAGCCAATATGGATTTGTCAAGAACAAATCATGTCAAAACAACCTAATTGGGAGGGCATATGTAGTGGGGTCCTGGGCCACAGGGGTCAGTCCTGGGTTTGGTACTGTTCAATATGTTCATTAATTACATGGATCATGGAGTGGAGAGTATGCGTATAAAATGTGTGGATCACACGAAGCTGGGTGGAGTCGCAAGCGCTTTGGAGGACAGGATTAGAATTCAAAATGACCTTGACAAATTGGACAATTGGCCTGAATTCAACAAGATGAAATTCAATGAAGACAAAGGCCAAGTATTTCACTTAGGAAAGAACAAAATCAAATGATAACTATAAAATGGGGAATAACTGGGTAGGTGGTCGTCCTGCTGAAAAGAATCTGGGAGTTATAGTGAATCACAAACTGAATATGAGTGAACAATGTGCTGCAGTTGTAAAAAAAAAAGGCTAATATTCTGGGGCATATTAACAGGGGTGTTGTATGTAAAATGTGGCAAGTAATTGTCTCGCTCTACTCAGCACCGGTGAGGCCTCAGCTGGAGTACTGTGTCCAGTTCTGGGCACCGCACTCTAGGAAGGATATGGACAAACTGAAGAGAGTTCAGAGAAGAGCAACACAAATGATAAAAGATTTGGAAAACCTGACCTGTGAGGAAAGATTAAACAAACTGGCCATGTTCAGTCTTGAGAAAAAAAGACTGATGGGGGAACTCGATAAAACCCTTCAGATATGTTAAGGGCTGTTATAAAGAGGACAGTGGTCAATTGTTCTCCGTGTCCACTGAAGGAAGGACAAGAAGTAATGGGCTTAATCTGCAGCAAGTGAGATTGAGGTTAGATATAAGGAAAACTCTAAGCGTCGTTAAGCTCTGGAATAGGCTTCCAAGGGAGGTTGTAGAATCCCCATCATTGGAGGTTTTGAAGAACAGGTGGACAAACACCTGTCAGGGCTGGTCTAGGTTTACTTGGTCCTGCCTCCATGCAGGGAGCTGGACTTGATGACTTTTCAAAGTCCCTTCCAGCCCAACATTTCTATGCTTCTGTAATTAGAGCAGCCTAGGAGCTGCTCTAAAGTGCACCAAGTGGCTACGGCCCCCAAGGGGCCATCTGCCGATTGGAAAATAGCTTGAGCTGATTGGTCGCACCCCCTGTGCTCTGGGGTAGAGTAGGAACAGACTAAACTGGCTCTATGTCAATGGGGACTTGCTCACATTGGGAGAATCTCCAGCTAGGGAGATAAAGTGGCAGCGCAGCACAGGGCGGCTGGAATGGAAGAGCCCCATTGTTGCACATTATAGTGTAGACCGGCCCATAACCAGGTTAAAGCTTTGTTTATGACTGAGTGAAGGGGCAACTGCTATGTAGCATGTGGAGTGATGCCAGGCCCTGCATGTTCTGTGGAAAGCAGAGCTGAGCCCACGGCACAAATATCTGAGCCAGATGTTGGGTTTTGAACTGCCCAAGTTCGGGACTGTTTCGACCTGAGGGGTTGGTTCAGGCCTGTCTCTCCTGGAAACCTTGGTCCCGCTGAATATGAGGAACCCCACTGCTGTATTGCATTCGTCTCTAACTCCCCACTCATTGGTTTCAGTAAGGCCAGGATTTGACCCCCTCGATGCTCTACGGAGGAGCTGCACCTGTAGAGAGCACCAAGCATGGCACCCACGTTCGGCTATGAACATAGGAACAAACGCCTCAAGCAGATGGCAGGAGTGGGACACATAGTTTAGCTTCCTAGCTGCTGGGTTCTTCTTGGAAATGCTTCTTTTTCCATCGCCCACTTACTTTTCTGCCAGCGGGAACATGACTCACATCCTTTATTGCTGCTGCTTTTCTCTCGCCTGGTCCCCAGAGCTTCCCATGGTGGCTCCGTATCCCTGTCTCCGTTGCTCCTCTTCCATCCACCCATTCCCCAAGAGGATCAGACCAATGGTTTGACACCAGTTTCCCCCTTGCTGCAGCCCAGTTCGTGTTGCAATTCCTCTGTCCTACAGAACGTGGGAACCCATTTGGAGCAATCAGTAAACAGACCCAGGGCTAAAATAATAGTTTCCTCTCCTGGCAATGCCGAAGTTTCCTGAGTTATTCCGATCGCCTTGGTTTCTCTTTGTATCTGTCAGCCTCCAGGTCAGGGGCTGGGATGCAAGGAACCAAGGGTGGTTAGGAGCTGGAAGTAACCCCCAGGGTGGCTGAGCAAGTGACCAGTGCATAGTGAATCTGAGGCAGATGACAGAGGTCCTCAGTTCTCTCTGTGAGATGCAAAGGAAAAGGTTCACTGCTGGTGGAGGCAGTTGAAGTGTGACTGAGCTCCTCCCCAGCCAATGACAGCATCAGCGTGTCTGAGAGCTGCAAGGTTCAAAACACCGGGCTAGGACAGCAGCTCTCGCAGAGAAGGAAGTGGGAACAGAGCAAAGCAGCAGCATGTCTGAATTGCAGAAACTTCAGCAGACTGAAATCCCCTCTGCCAGGCAAGTCCTGAGGGAGAATTACAGCAAACTTCACAAAGTGGCCGACTACTGTGAGAATAACTACATGCAGGTAGGTGTGTGCTCTCTGGCCCCAGCACACCATGCTGAGCTCCATGGCGCTGCAGCAGGCATTCAGGGACTGGGGAGAGTGTGTGGTGGGCTTCCCCTACGTTGATTGGGCATGTGCCCAGGAGAGGCAGAAGCATGATGCTGTAGGTGCAGAGATCTTGGGCATGCTGTTAGGGGTATGAAAACTTCGGACGCTCTTATGCAAAGGATCAGATGGGGCTGTCTGTGCAGAGTAAAAAGAGAAGGAAAGAAAATCATCTTACTTTTGGAGAGACAGTATAGTCCAGTGACTAGCGCACGGGGCTGGAACTTGGAAGACCTGGATTCTGGTCTCAGTCATCTTAGAGAAACCACTCCATCTACTGTGTCTTGGTGTCTTGTGTCCTTAGCTTGTAAGCTCCGAGGTGCAGAGAGACCATGTCTTCACTGTGGTGGGGCACAGGGGGGAAAGATGTGTTCTTAACTCAAATTCAACCCCTGGGGAGTCTGGTCTTTAACTTGACCTGCAAATGTCTGTGAACCTAGCATCTGCCTGCTCTTCACTAGGCTTCTATCTTGCACTAGCTAACTCGAGTGAAGGACAAACCTTTTTCCATAGCGAAGACAAGCCCTGTGTGTTTGTACAGTGCCTAGCACAATAATAATATATATATATATAGCACTTTTCCACTTTAGAGCTCAATGAGCTTAGCTAAGTAGAAAGTGTTACCCCCATTTACTGATGGGGAACTAAGGTACAGGTAGGTGAAGTGACATGCCCAAGGTCACAGGGTCTGTGGGTGGCAGAGCTGGGGATTGAACCTGGATCTTCTGTCTCTACATCCAGTCTTAATGACAAGCCCACCCTGATGGTCTGTACGTATAAGCGCTGTACTATATAGCGATAAAGACTGGATCAACCCTAATAATTTCTAGATAGGTTTTTAAAGGCGAAGAGTGACCAATTATTCACATACCGCGGGGGCGGGGAGGAGATTGTTCCACGTGGTGACACCAAAAATCACATGTCAGGAAACGCAGAGGTAACAGCTGAAACTCTATGCTCAGCTAACGCACCTGTGAAACAGCAGAACCCCAAGAGCCGCAAGCGGCAGCCTCAGCGTTGCAGTTGCTGGCTGTGTCACTGCCACAATGTGTCAGTGATAGTTCTTGAGTGAGCAGCTGTCTTCTTCTGTGACTGCTTCATTGAAGAAATTGCAGCGTTATTCCCTTCCATGTGCAACCTGGGAATTAAAACCCACCTCCTTCCCTTCTCCAGATGGGAGTGGAGAACGATCTTGGTATCTAGGCTTATTTCCTTTGCATTGTGTTCGCACCTAGAGGCCTCAGCTGAGAGCAGGGCTCTTCGTTGAGGGGTGCTCTACCAAAGCAGTTAAATCCAAATAAACAAGGGGAGCATTATCCTCATTTTATAGGTGGGGAACTGAGATACAGGGAGTCTGTGGCAGAAGCAAGATTTGAATCCTGGTGTGCGGAGTCAAAGTCCAGTGTGTCTTAACCACCTTTGGTCCATATGGATTCGAAAGGGCTGTACAAACTCTTGGTGTGAGGGATTAAACTAGTCACTCTTAAATGCAGCCACTTCTGGGGTGGAACACAGATGGCACCACACAACCATTCAGGGCACAAAGAGAAGAATCACAATGTGTCCAGTTGAAAATAGAGGTGGAATTTCAATACACAGAATGTAATTGTTCGAGCTGGAATTTGGGCAGGACACCAAGGGTAGCACTTGTGCTGTTGTGAAAACAGCAATGACTGAAGTGAATCTTGAATGACCACAGATGGCCAGCGGCTTGGTTTTGTATCTTCTGTGAAAATCAGCACCCGGGGCGGAGGTGTGCTAACACCGTGAGGACGCACTGACTCAGAGAACGTTATCTACCACATGGCTAGCACTGCTGAGGGTTTCCCGAGAGGATTGCATCTAAGAACTAAGCTTACCTGACCCTGCTTAGCTTGAGAAGAGGACAGCTTGCAGTCACACAGCAACAGACAAACAGTGCTGTAGCCTACCTAAGACTCTTGGTTTGTTCCCTTCAGTTCCCACAGAAGATGGGGGTTTTACAGCCTGATCCAAAGCCCATTAAAGTCAATGGGAGACTCACCATTGACCGCAGAGCCCTTTGCATCAAGTCTTCATTCATTTCCACACAGGTCATCTGGAACGGAAGACCCATTTCCAGCACGTCCCGGGCTGGGGGTGCAGGATTCTAGGGCCATGTCTATACATACAGCGGCACAGCTGTACCGCGTACAGCTGCTGTGCGCCTGGTGAAGACGCTCTGTGCCGACAGGAGAGAGCTCTCCTGTCAGCATTAAAAAAACCACCTCCACGAGCGGCGGTAGCTATGTCAGCAGAAGAAGCTCTCCTGCTGACATAGCGCTGTGCACACGAACGTTTATGTCGGTGGAATATTCACACCCCTGTGCGACATAAGTTTTGCCGACGTAGGCCGTAGTGTAGACGTAGCCTAGGTGTTTTGTTTCCGCTTCCCAAGTGAGAACACCCTGGCGTCCCTGTCTGGAGTAACAGCAAGGCAAGGCGAGCAAGGGAATATCTTTTATGGCACCAACTTCTGGTGGTGAAAGAGACAAGCTGTCAGGCTCCACAGAGCTCTTCTTCAGGTCTGGGAAGGTGTGTGTAGCTCGAAAGTTTGTCTCTTTCACCACCAGAAGTTGGTGCCGTAGAAGATATTCCCTCACCCGCCTTGTCTCTCTAATATCCTGGGACCAGCACGGATACAATACCGACGAAAAGGGATTAACAGCTGCCTTTATCCTCCTGTCAAGGCCAGGGTGGGGCTGGAGGGAAATGGTGGTGTAGTTTCAGGCAGAGACAAGTGTCCCTGAGTAATGAGTGTCAGTGACCTGCTCTTGTTCTGTTGACGCAGCTGAAGGAAGTTTGATGCATTTGGAAAGCAGAAGGAAACATCTTAAAATTAAGCCCGACGCCAATTAAAAGACGTCGTCTCTAAAGGCTCCTTCGCACAGTCAGTTGGCTCTGCTTCCTGAGAGCCCCACCCCTTGCCAGCAATAAACTATCCTCCTCGGGGTCTAATTGACCAGGGACACCACCCGGTTTGCTCATTGTAAAAGGAATCACGCTAGTGAGCTGGGGCTGGGCGATGGGACCTTTCAGCTCTGCCTCTGGCCCTGGTTGAAAATCATTGTAACAAAGCCAAGGCTGCTTCGGAGTTCATTGTTGTCTCAAACTCTGGCCTCTCAGAACTTCAAAGTGATGGTGGGGATAGAACATGGGATTTTCCTGCTCCAAAACAAGCAGGCATTTAACCTTTGAACTAAAGGGGAATTTCCATGTGCAAAGTAATGTACATTGGAAAACACAATCCCAACTACACATATAAAATGATGGGGTCTAAATTAGCAGTTACCACTCAAGAAAGAGATCTTGGAGTCACTGTGGATCGGTCTCTGAAAACATCCACTCCATGTGCAGCGGCGTCAAAGAAGCAAACAGAATGTTGGGAATCATTAAGAAAGGGATTGATAATAAGACAGAAAATATCCTATTGCCTCTATATAAATTAATGGTATGCCCACATCTTGAATACTGTTGCAGATGTGGTCATCTCCTCTCAAAAAAGATATACTGGCATTAGAAAAAGTTCAGAAAAGGGCAACTAAAATGATTATGGGTTTGGAACAGGTCCCATATGAGGAGAGATTAAAGAGGCTAGGACTTTTCAGCTTGGAAAAGAGATGACTAAGGGGGGATATAAAAACATGACTGGTGTGGAGAAAGTAAATAAGGAAGTGTTATTTACTTCTCATAACACAAGAACTAGGGGTCACCAAATGAAATTAATAGGCAGCAGGTTTAAAACAAACAAAAGGAAGTATTTTTTCACACAATGCCCAGTCAAACAGTGGAACTCTTTGCCAGAGGATGTTGTGAAGGCCAAGACTATAACAGGGTTCAAAAAAGAACTAGATAAATTCATGGAGGATGGGTCCATCAATAGCTATTAGCCAGGATGGGCAGGGATGGTGTCTCTAGCCTCTGTTTGCCAGAAGCTGGGAATGGACGACAGGGAATGGATCACTTGGTGATTACCTGTTCCCTCTGGGGCACCTGGCATTGGCCACTGTCGGAAGACAGGATACTGGGTTAGATGGACCTTTGGTCTGACCCAGTATGGCCGTTCTTATGTTCCATGACAGTAGAGGGCTTATGACACATACAGCCGAGCAGTTCTGATCCATCTAGCAAAGGGCAGTGGTTCACATAGACACTATCCAGTCTGTTACACCACTGATAGCTGAAGGCTGATTGGTGGGCTGTGTGAATGCAGTTGGTGGTCGTAGATTAGTTCCTAGGTCCAAGTGTCTATGTCACATTTGGCCCCCTTGTTGGCTGTCTTAGTGGAGAAGCCAGGAACAAATGACCCATGGAGATAGAGGGCAGTTTCTTCAGAGCAGCATCTAGGCATGTTAGCTGGGGATAGTACAGGGAGGAGAAGGAGTCTGCACTGTCGCTACCCATGCTGTGTTTATCCCCAGGGCAAGTAGTCTTCAGAGCGGTCACTCCTGCACCTTACACCAGCTCTTCATTCCCATGTAAACGAAAACTGGCCTCCTCGATCGAGACACCAGAACTGTTGGCCTAGATACCAAAGGGCCGGTATCCAAGTCCCGAGTCCCTGAGCCTCTCCAGTCCAAAACGTCTTAAAGATTATAGTGGTAGAATGGCAGAGAAGCCTATGGACACTGAGACCACACAGGTCTCTTGGCTCTCCCGTTCGGTTGGGTTCTTATATTGCTCCATCACGATGGTGTCAGAGTCTGGCCAGGGTGACTCCCAAACATTTTTTTTTTCTGTTCCAGGCAACAGACAAGAGGAAAGCCCTGGAGGAGACCATGGCTTACAGTGCCCAGTCCTTGGCTAGCGTCGCATACCAGATCAGCAATCTAGCCAGCAACGTCCTCCAACTGTTGGACCTGCATGCAAGTGAACTCCACCAGGTTGAAGCCAACATCTGCTGCGTTGCGCAGGTGGGTGGGAAATGCATAGAGACAATGGGGGTGGTTCGCCCTGGGTACGTCTACACTACAGCACGTGTAGACATCCCCGAGCTAGCTTTGATCTAGATGGTGAATAACAGCAAAGAATCTGCAGCCGCATGGGCTAACCGCTCGAGTACACGCCCATGCTGTCACAGCTTCACTTGTGACACGAGCCAGCTAGATCATCGCACCTCTGATTGCAGCGGAGACATACTCTCCGACTCCTCATCCGCTGCCTCTGACTTCTGCGCTGCACACAGGTGGGCCACACCAAACATGTGGCTCTTTGACGCCAGGCTAGGGGTTGGTCCACAGAAGAGGTTTATATTGGCAGCTGATGAAAGCGCTCCTTTAGCTCATGTGGTAGAGGCTCGTGTTTTCAGTGCTGAAAGTCTGGGGTTGAAATCCTGCTGTTGGCTCAAGCGGGGTTTGATACCGGCATGTGGGGGATTTCTACTGTACGTGCCCCACTCCATAATTATAGCCTGCAGTCACTCCTATTGATGGGGCTACAGCCGTCCTCTGTATATGTGGGCCGAGCACAATGAGGCTGTCATCCCTGATCAAGCCACTTAGGTGCTGTCATAGCATGAAGAATAATTGGCGATTGCTCCAGAACCCTTTGGGGACACAGTTGGGCCTGATTTTCACAGGGGGCGGGGCTGACCGCTTGCAGCTCCCACTGAGTTTGAATGGAGTCGTGGGTGCTCCGCACCTCCTGAGAATCCTGTGCTGGGACTTAAGCGAGAGCAGTTTTCGAGCCCACGTGCACACCCTGCAACGCAGGCAAGTGTCACGAAGACCCCTTGGCCCCACAAGCGGGAAAGCCCTGCAGGAATTGCTCCCAAAAACCCTGTTCAGTTTGACACACAGAATAGCGAGCTGCTAACTTTGTGTGGGCCGTCCCTTACCGCAAAGGAAAGACGGCCCCATAGCTGACTGAAGGGTTTGACTCTCTGCCCAGCAAGACCGTGTGTCTCTGACTGCTCCCCACCCCCATCCTTATCCTCCTGGAGTCTACGGATGCGTGTCGAGCGTTCAGTCACAGCCAGCCCTTTTCCTGTGCGTGAAAGTTGCCTGGTAACTTTCCTGTTAGCTGGAGAATAATAATTAGGGGGAAAAAAAAAAAACTGCTCAGGAAACTGCAGAGGAATGGATTAAATGCTGCGAAGAGCTGGGGCCTTTGCTTGTCTTGAGTGAGGCTCTCAAAGGACTTTCTGAACGTGAAGGGCCAGATCATCAGCAGGTGTAAATTGGTGTAGCTCCATTGAGGTCAATGGAACTGTGTCCATTTACCTCAGCTGAGCATCTGCCCCCACATGCCTGATCCTGCAGCATTAACGTGTGGGAACTGCACCATGGAGTTCAGGAGCAGGCCCTCATTAAGTTTCACCACCCCTCCCCGGGAGGCAGCAACCCTTCCCTGCCCCCTCAGCCCCCAACTTTATAGATGGAGAAACTGAGGCACCGAGAGGGGTTGGGACTTAAGGACCATTGCAGAGCTGGGAAGAGGCCCCAGGAGTCCTGGCTCCCAGGCCTGTGGTCTCCACACAAGAGCCTCTCGTTTAGGGGGAAGAGTGCTTCTGGAGCCCCACAAATTTCAGATGTAGAAACTCATGCCTCTTAGTGGGATAACGACAGGGGTTTGAGGTTCCTCCAAGAGGAAAGGCCCTGGCGGGGAAGGTGACGGGTGACGATTGTCTCTCTCTAAAGATGGTGGACGTGCACAAGGAGAAAGTGGCTCGTCGGGAGATTGGAACGCTGACAGTCTGCAAGAGGCCCCCCCACTACCAGAAAATCATCTATCCAACATACCAGGAACCCCTGGAAGCTTACTACAGGAAACCCCTCAACTTCAGCATCCTGGATGACGTCGGTCATGGGATAAAGGTCAGAATAAACCCCAAGTGAAATCCAGCCTGCTGTGTCCCAGGTCACGGGGAGCTTGAAGTGACCACACTCAGGCTCAATAACGAGAGAGGCGCTAGTTCAGTTGGCAGTTATTGGGATTGATGGTGTTGCTTACATCGCAGGGAAGACTAATTGCACTGGAGGAATCTCTGGGTGAGATTCTGTGATGTGTGCTACACAGGCCAGGCTGCTAGATGATCACAATAATGCAACCCGGCCGTAGAAGAGTATGGTCGTCGGTTTGAAAGTATTAATTTTGTTTGAGGTCCTCCAATTTTTCTTTGGAGGCCCAACTTGACACACCTGAAAAGGCCGGGTTTAGAAAGTGCTGAGCGCCTGGCCCTGTGAAAATCAGCCGTCCTCAACGTCTGGCAAGTCAGACACTCCGACTCGCGCGTCGCCTCTGAAAGTCTTGGCCTATCGGACTAAGGTAAAGAGCTCTCAGCTTCACTGAATTCCTCTTTATTCCCGCTTCATAGATTCATCTAGTCTGACGTCCTGTAGAGCACAGGCCAGAGAACTGCCCCAAAATCATTCCTGGAGGCTTTTGTTGTAGAAAAACATCTAAACTTGATTTAAAAATTGCCAGGGATGGAGAATCCACTATGACCCTTGGTAAATTCTTCCAATGGTTAATAACTCTCACAGTTAAAAATGTATGCCTCATTTCCAGTCTTAATTTGTCTAGCTTCAGCTTCCAGCCCTTGGGTCATGCTAGACCTTCTTCTGCTAGTTGAAGTGTTATGGTGCACTCAGAGTATGTAACTTTCCCCTTTGATTCAAGAGGCTCCACCATGTTTTACAGACATTAACTAACCCTTCAAACACTCCTGCAAGGTAGGGAATTATTATCCCACCACAACAGGTGGAGGACCTGAGGCATAGCGAGGTGAAGTGAGTTGCCCGGGGCCGCAAAGTGAGTCAGTGGCAGAAGTGGGAAAAGAATCCAGAATTCTCCTGGAGCCCTGCTCTAGCCACTAGCCCACACACCTCCCTGAATGCAGCCAACATTGCTGCTGATCCAGATGACGCAACAATCCCAATCCCAAAGCGTCCAATCCCAATGTGAAGTAGGGTCTTGTATAAAACCTGGGATGGATTTTGCGATGTCTGCCTCTAAGTCAGCCATTCCAGAGTCCCAATAAAAGGGATGGAAGGGATTTTACCCAGACATTACAATCCAGTCACAAGAAAATTGCTGTAGAAAACACTAGAGTCCAAATCCTGCCCTCACCACTTGGACAACCTTCGTGAGTTTGGTGGGGTTGCGTGGGTGTATGTGAGACACACCAGGAGTTCTGATGACTCACGCAGAGACAGGCAGACAGACACAGCGTCTCTAAGCGCTTCCTTTGTGGACAGCTAGAGTCCTCTGGTGAGCCACAGTCCAGTCCTCCTCTTCCTCTTTGAAAGGAACAAGAGCAGAACTTGATGAAAGATGGAAGCCTTGGCAGCAGCTGGAGCCAGAGTGGAAGGGGTAAAGGTGGTGTTGGCGTGATCTGCTATTTGGCCTAACCACTGGGCAACCCATCCTCTACATCTCTCTGGGTGCTGCATTGCTGTCTCCCCGGCGCGTATTGCTCAGACACTGCTGGTAAAGATGATTTGCCAAAGAAAAAGAAAATGGATTTGTGCCCCCAGTAAAATGATCTGCAAGGGTGTCTTTCTGCTGCTGCTTATTTTTTTGTTTTGTTTTGCCTTCCCTGTTTTTGATGGAGAACTTCTTGGATGCGTCAGAGATGTGTGCATGGCTTTCTCATCCCTGAATGGAGTCGGGAAGGGATGCTGAGTTCTTACCAAGGAACTTTGCTCCCCCAGGTTTTCGATTCAATAGCCATTATGCACTTTCTTGTTGCTGTTTTTGAGTCACCGACTAAAAATCCTTTCTTCTCTTGGCGACTCTGATGTTGCTCCCTTGGTATTTGTAGTGTTATGATCCTCTCAGTTCTCCAGTCGCCCAGCGAGTTCTCCAGGGGAGAGGATGCCTGAATCCCTTCAGGTATTTCTTCTGAAAGCAGCAAAAGTGCCACAACAAGCCCTATTTTTTTTTTCTCCTTTGTGAATCACCTTTAAGAAACCAAAAAGAAAAATAAAAATCCCCATGCGTGAGGGTTTCATCAGCTAGGTGCCCGGCAATCTGAGACGACCGTAACCACCCGAGATCGAAACTGCCACGGTTGGCTTAATGCAGACACGGGAAGTTGTCTGCTCGGGCTCTCTTTTCCCACGATCGCCCCCGCTTTCTCAGCAGTGTGCTCACCACAGCTCCGAGGGCTGCTTCCTCCACCCAGCTCTTGCAGGCTTTCTGCTGCGCCCTGTGGCTAAGTGATCAGCCCCCTTGGTCTGAAGGACTTTCTCAGTACTATTTTGTACATGGCAGATGTGAGACTTTTTCCCAATGAGCTTCGCTTCCGTCGAGGGAGCTAAATAAAAGCTAGATCTTCCGACGTGCTCAGCTCCCCGCGCGACACCGATGGCCATCTTGTCAAAGCATCAGCACCTACCGGCAGTACATGAATTCATGTGACCGTCTGTTCCTTAAGGCCTGATCCAAAAGCCATTGAAGTCAATGGAAAGACCCTCCCCCACCCATTGACTTTAGATCAGCTGCTTAATGGTTCTGATCCATTCCTTTCCTGCTAATTCTGGTAGCCTGTGGGGTAATGTTCTCTTGGCCCCTGGCCCCTAGTAAACTGCTGCGTTTACCGGAGTAGGAGGGTTTTTCTTAGCGTTTGGGCTTGTCCGGTTTGTATTATTTTTCCCTTTAACTATTTTAAAGGGCAGGTGAACGTGGCACTGGTGACAGACACTGGCTGCACGGCTTTCCAGCCTGGCTAGCCACAGAAAGATGTGTAGCCATGTACCCAAGCTGGTCAATATGGTGGCCCAACCTTCCTCCACCCTGGCCTCAGCTCATGCCTCTCGATCCTGTTAGTTTGGCTCTCTGCTGAGGGAGCCACTTTCTGCTGATTGCATGGATGCTGCTGGGCTGAGACCCAGCAGTCCGGGCCCTGAACAGCTTTTGGTTGCTCACTATGAACATGGGCTTTATTCCAACACGGAGGCCACTGGCTCTGTATCCCGACTGCTTGAGCCATCCAGTCCCGGCTTCGGGACAAGCTTCTTGGCCTGCTTGTTTTAGTCTAGACCCTCAGGCCAAGTGACAGGAAAATCTTTCTACTCTGACATCTTCCTCCTGAGCCTCTCAGATAAACTCATCCTGCTGCTCTCCAGCAGGCACGACACTTTATACGAGGAGTCACGCACTAATACGGGGCAGCGGGGGCAGAAATACCCTAGTGCCTTAGTAGGAATGTCCCGAGAAAGTGAACAAGAGTCTGAACAGATCAAGAGGCCAGATTTGCCCCTGCGGTTGCTCCACGGGCTTAGTAGAGTCACCCCAGGGGAAACCCAGCCCTTTGCGTTGGTGTGTAACAAGATGTAGGACACTACCAGCCCAGCGTTACGAAGTTTGGGCTCTGTTCCTCTGGAGAAGTGCCTGGCAAAGGAAGTGATGCACCATGTGCCAATGCTCACCATTTGAAGGGGCGTCTTTCCCGAGAGTCTTCTCACCAGTGGTGCATTGGCTTGCTGGCCTTGTCTCTCTCACCATGTGTCTCCTAACAGCTGCAGCTGTGTAACTTCGTCAGTGGATTGACAGCGTGTCCTGTTTCGTTTTGATCTAGCACACGGTGCTGGCAGGGTACAAAAGAAACATGCAGCGATGCATAGCGAGGAGAGTGGCAATTCTGAAATGCGTATTCATATTTTAGGATGTTTTGCCTGTTGGTAACAGGGGAAAAAAGACTTCATGCTATTACTGGTGCTGCCAGGTCTGCTGCTTGGAAGCAACAAGACTGTGGGTTGTGACAGTTAAAGGGGGGCAGCATTCGCACTTGAAAGACGCTGTCGCTGTCCGTATAATTTACTTTACATCTGTGTAGCCATGGCAGGACTCTCTGGATTCCCTCAGCAGCGTGGGGTAGCGGGAGCCCTGTGAGACAGGACTCCTATGTCAAACTCTGGGAGGGAGTAGGGTCTATTGGTTAGATCAGGGAGCTGGAAGTCTGGGATCCTGAGCAAGGGAGTACAGTCCGCTAGCTAGAGCAGGATTGCAGGAGTTGTGGATGGGTTCCATTCCCAGCTCTGGCTGAGAGCATAGCATGCTGGCTATGAGAGAGAGCTGGAAATCACGACTCCTGGAGCCCCTTTCCAGTGCCACCCCTTCTGACCCAAGCAGCTAGCCACAAATTGGGGTCTTACAGGCTGTTCCAGCGGGAGGCAGGTGCCCTTTGATGCAATCTTGTGTAGTTACAAAGTCCTGATACCATGAACACCAGAGGAACCAAACATCTGGAGATAGTTTCTTTGATTACAACCCCAAGCCTCTTTTAGCCAGCACCCCACTGTACTTGTCCAGGCTGTGCGCATAGCTCTGTCTGTTTCTGTGTGCTTTCTCTCCTTGTCTCATCTCTCTCTATCTCTCACATACACACCCACCCTTACCCCAGAAGATCACCAGCAAAGCCCTCTGCCCACATAGTTCGAATTCCAGGGCAGACTTGCGTGTGCCTGTGTTTTTGGTGGGGGATGCTATAAAGGAGCTTAACCGTTTCTTAATAGTATCTTAAATGAAGGGCAGTGGTTACACCCACTAGCGCCATAGAGGTTTAACCCAGCCTATACCACCGGCTTTGCCATGGCTTATTGTGTGGCCTTGGCCAAGCACTTGACACCTGCCCCTCAGAAGGTGGCATGGGATGGTTGGAGAATTCATGAAAGTTTGTAAAATGCTTTGTAGTCCTTGTATCAGAGGCCTGGTATGAGGCCTAAGGCCTGAGCTAAAGTAATGGTCAAGACTTTGCTGATATAAAACAAAGTTAAGCTGTGAGCAAGAGGCAGGCCCTGCTCCCAGAATCTGGCATGAAGAGGGCTGATGCTGCAAAACCATACATACCTAAAAGGAACTGGGCACAAGTGATGTAAACACGTGTCAGGATGGTACCAGAACACTCCAGCACAAGCACATTCCCCCTCAGATAACAGGAACATGCTGACCCATCCTAAAGACAGGGTTAAAAGGATAATATGATGGATAGAGTTGTTTTGTTCCAACCAACATGTACAAGGTAATAGGCGGCACCTTGACACGTAGAGGGCTTGTACCTCAATACGTTAGGAGTGATGTGTAACTCGTTTGTACCTGTATAAAAAAATGGACCTCTGAGGGGTTGTCTTGGTCTGGCCTAGGGGGCAGTGGTAAGTCCCGCCACTGACTGAGCCGGTCCATTGTCAGGGAGCACATCTGTACTAGCAGAACTGTAGACATCTGATCCGGGGAGCTAGAGATTGTGTTTCGTTTAGCAATAAACCTGGCCGGGTGCCTTCGTACCTTATCGGAGTCTGTGGTCATTGGGGTTTTCCTCGGGGTCTGCGGTGCCAGCTATCTGCGCAGAGCCGGGCCAGCACACACCCACACAGCTGACTGTTATCAACATTGGACAGAGCAGCGCAGAGCACCACACTGTCGATATTCCTCTGATGAAAGATGCAGGAAATACAAAGCATTAGTATTATCAGTGTAACCCTTCTGCCAGGTGGAGCCAGCAGCAACCATGGCCGGGTTCAATATCAAGGGGTTCCTTTTCAACAATACAACACAAAATGGGCTCGAGCCCCCATGCAGTGACCTGGGAAAATTGCACACCAGCCCTGGGCGCCTCTGGGAGGCAATACTTCCCCACTTGCAAGCACAGAAAAGAAACGTTTAATGAAAGGAGGGAAGTCACCCGACATTAGTTAGGGAGAATGCCACAAGCAGGATTCATAATCATAAAACTGTGAGCAGGACCCCCACCCCAGAGTGCGTGGGGCAGTGCCTTCCGCCTCATGTTCTTGAGTTCTACAACCAAACGTTCCTTTTCTGTGCCCCTCTCTGCTCCCCCACCATACCCCACTCACAGTGGTTGTCCTTGGTCAGCGAGGGCCCAGGGTTCAGAGGTGCGTCTGTGTGAATTCACCTCCCACCTGGGGAAGAAGGCACCTTGCTTGCACTTGCTCTGGCTGGCTGCCCGCCCTGCCAGCCACTCTTCCATGCCACCGGGCCGCCCTGCCAGCCGTGGCTCCTTGCTGCCTGGCTGCCCCACCAGTCGCGGTTCCTCATCAGCTGCTCGTTCTGCTCACTGCCTCACCAGCCCACTCGTTCGCCAGTTGACTGTCAGCCACCTTCTGGTGCCACCCGCCTCTTCTGCCGTGACCTCTGCAGCTCAGTCTCTTAGTAATTTTCAGCTCTTTGCAGGCTGGGCAGAAACACTGCCCCATGTCAGGTGATTTCAGCTCTCATTTGAGCACTTTAACATATCACAGAGGTTCCTAATGAAGCCTGTTTAGCTCTATCATTGAACAGTGTGGAGGAACAGGTTAAACCAGACAGGACCCTTAGAGAGCATCTACACCTCCTGGCTGGGACACCTGTCCCCACCCCTCTTACTTTCCCAGGGCTCTGGCATTCGAGCCCCTGGCGTAACGAGGTCCTTTCAGCTGGGGGTGGACCCCCTCATTTGGGACAGGTTAAGCACAGTTCTGCTCCCCTTTATTCATACAATAATGACAACAACATTGGTAACAGCATTTCACTACCCCTGCATTTAGTACTAACGCGATTTGTACCCCATCACCAGCCAAAATTGATCACTTTGAGCAACCCCGCTTTATCCGCTGGATATCTAAGCAGAGTGGGTGTGTTCATGTAAATACGGTTTGCTCCTGAAGTTTCTCCCCCTCCCAGCTAGCTGTCAGGGGAGAATTCATTCAGACCCGGCTTACATCAGCAAGGCCTTGTTGTCTGTGTAATCTAGAAGTGGAGACTGTTGCGAGCACCCTGGCTCATCATTAACAGGGGGGACAAATTAATTTGCTTCTCTCTCAGGCCCCTGGCAGCACTGGAGGGTTTTTTGCACTGCCACAGCTATACCACTGCAACTGGTAAATTACCTGGACCAGTCGCACTGGAAAAATCTCCATGTTTTGCACCAATGCAGTGTGTCTGCGTTATGGGTTTGCACTCGTATCCAGTGCAAATATCCCTAATTTCGACAAGGCTTAAGAATCCGAATGCTCTTGGTCACACACAGCTATGCCTCTCTGTGGGTAACCCCTGGGTTGGTGAGTCTTTGTAAACAAGCTTCTCAGGGTTCGTTCTCTCTAGGCAGCCACTGATTCTTTCTCTCTTCTTCCCTGGCTGTAGGACCAGACCACGCAGTTGTCACGAACGGGAACCTTGACTCGGAAAGGATCCAAGATATCATCTGGACAGTCTACGGGCACCATGGGGTGAGATGGCACCACGCTCTTGCACTTGCTACCTGGCAGTCCCACTGCCCTACTTTCCGCCCACCGTCCTGTCCTAAATGAGACACAAGCCTGATAAAGAGGTGGCAAGATTCCCCCCTCCCCACTGGAAAATAAACCTTTCAGATCAGCCCCCGAAGGTTCAACATCTGCCTGAGACTGCCCCTTATGCAAATAATGGTCACGCTTTTCACAGTAAGGTTCCATTTATACAGGGTCTAGAAAGGATTAATTAAAAATTGATAGATGTTTTACTAAATGATTGATCATTTGTTGTAGAGTCCAATCGGTCATGAGGTTGCTTTTAGCCATGGCTTATCACCCTCTGAAACACCTACCGGCCTGCATATGCCCATCTATAACAGATTCTACTCACGTCAGTAACATGCTTATAGCATTAACCCTTTGTAAGCCGTTTATAAATGTGCCCTGACTAGAGTGTGACCAAAATAATACTAGTCCAGACATAGCCAGAAGCCTTGCAGCTGAGCTGGCCAAAAATGAAAGGATTATTATTTGTATTGGTGTAGCACCTAGGAGCCCCCACCACGGACCACGTTCCTGTCCCAGGGGAAATGCTGAGATTTCAAAATTTAGTTTCATTCTGAATCGGGATGATAAAGTAGAAACCTTGGACTCTTTTGCGAGACGATATTCCAAAATATTTAATTTCAGGAAAAATTCCATTTAGACCTTATCAAAACGTTATGCGTAGGCGATTACAGAGTAACTATAAAATACATCATCAGATACAAGATGAAACGTTTCAACTGCATCGAAACAAAAAGGTTTCGATAATTTTCTGTGGGAAATGTTGACAACAGCAGAACGTCCCCAGAGCAACATTTTGATTTTTGCCAAATCAGCGTTTCCAAACGTTGGAAAATCTTCCTCCAGCTGTGCCATTAGTGCAGCTGTAGCATTTGGGGGAAGAACTGTTTGTAAAGGACACGCTGGGCTACATTCACGAAAGGTCTTAGGCACTTTAGGCACTTTAGGATTCATAACCCCCTGCCCGACTGCCCGTGCACTCTAAGTGACCAGCATTGCTCGGCACCTACGTTTCTGCAGTGAAAGTTCGCTTGGCACCTAGGATTCTTCATGAATGTAGCCTGCTGCCTTTAAGCCACCCAGCGTATTGAATGGGCCTGGAGACTGACCTCCCTTCTCAGGCCCTCCAGAGCCCTATCAATGCCGTAAAGTTGGTGCTTGTTGCAGAAAACTGTCATCAGCCAGTTTCCTCGTGGCCGCAAGGCGTGGGTGTCAGGGTGAGGCACCCAGGTAGAGTCCAGGGGAAGGGAGAGGTTGTATTGCCCCTGCCTTTGCTGGACCTGGGCGGAGGCGAACACAGGGCCTCAATTTGTCAGGCTGAAAGCGCACGGAGTAGTTTTAATCTAAGGTGAAGATTTCCATCTCTGCGAAGCCGGTTTAATTTTTTCATTGGCTGTCTGGTTGTACGGGGCCCTGCTCTGTGCAAAAGGCCATTTGCTGTTACTGTTATGGGCAGACTGGGACCCCGTTTTGCTTGGTGCTGTACAAGCGCATAGCGAGACACAGTCCCTGCCCCAGTAGACTAGACAGGCAAAAAGTGCGAGGGGAAAACAGGGGGGAAGTGACTTGCCCAAGGTCACCCAGCAGGTCAGTGCCAGTGCTAGGAATAGGACCTAGGTCTCCTGGGTCCCAGTCTAGTGATCTGCCCACTGCCTCACACTGATTCTCTTTATACCATCATGACAATCTAACACCGAATCACCGCAGCTCTGGCATTGATACTTTCAGGCCAAACTCAGAATAAAAACGCCTTGCATTCAGCGGAGAAAGGGCAATGAGTTTCTTCCCCAAGATGAACTGGGGGTCTGATTGTGTATTTGTGTCTGTCCCGACTGCAGGAAAAACTCTCGTATCCCAGAGCCCATTCAACTGCCTGTGGTTCCGGAAGGCAAACTCTCAGCGGCGTCCTCCACATCGTCTTTAACATCCCTCAGGTAGCTTGCCCAAGCTCTCAGAGCTCATCAGCCATCCTGGCCGGGGGTTGGGAGACTTGAGGGGAATGTGGGGCTGAGTGAACCTCCTGGCAACGTTGGGGAAACATTCGTTCCTCTCTCTAGTTAAAAACCGTGTCTGTTTCATGCCTCATAGACTCCAAGGCCAGAAGGGACCATTGGGATCTGACCTCCTGTGTAGCACAGGAGATAGTGTGACCAGATCCCAGTCGTCTGTGGGCGGGATTGAACCTGGGACCTCTGAAGCTAAATGTATCAGCCTCTACTGCATGAGCTAAAAACCACCTGGCCTTTAGCTAAGGCTGTAGCAGACTCATTAATCTCTTAAGTGGTCTCGGTGCCACTAGAGGGGACACAGCACCACACTCAGGAGGTGTGTGGGTTACAATAGCACTTCCCCAAAATCATTCCTAGAGCAGATCTGTTAGAAAAACATCCCATCTTGATTTTAAAAGGGTCAGAGATGGAGAATCCATCACACTCCTTGGTAAATTGCTCCAGTGGTTAATTACGCTCACCGTTAAAGATGTATGCCTTATTTCTGGTCTGAATTTGTCTCGTTTCAATTTCCATCCATTGCATCGTGCAATACCTCATTCTGCTAGATTGAGGAGCCCGTTATTAAATATTTGTTCCCCTTGTAGGAATTTATAGAGTGTAACCAATCACCTCTTAACCACTGCTCAAGGAAAGTTTAGAAAATGTGGGTTTCCAGCTATAGATCAAACACTGTGAATTGGGGATAGGAGAACTCGCCCATACACAAAAGCTCGATTAACCAGATGGGAACCATGTGTATGGTCTATATTGGAGCGAGTGACTTTAAAAAAAAAAATTCCTGCAAAAAAGTCCAAAACATTTTCACTTGAAATTTTTTTACAACATATTTTAGGGTTTGGGGTTTTTTTTTTCCAGCAAGAAACATTTTGAAACTAAAACTTTCATTTTTTTTCTATTCATAATTTCAGTTTTTGAAAACCAAAATATTTCAGGGTTTTCAGTTGGGAAGGGGAGGCTTTCTTCCCATTTCTCTCCTTTTCTGCTGGAAAAAAGTAAAATGGGAAAAGGAGAAAGAGAAGAAAACACAAACCAAATATTCCACACTCCAGAAATCAAAAATGAAAATGAAAAGAGTCATTCAAAATGAAACAAAACATTTTTCTTTTCGTTTGGAATGTTTTCATTAAAAATGTTGTTTAAAACCAAACTCTTTGTGCGAAACATTTAGATGTTGTCACTAACACTATTTTTCAGTGGAAAAACATTTTGCTCAAAATATCTCAACCAGCTTTAATCCATCTAGTGAGGCAGAACAGTCACTGATTCTACTTAGTGCCTAGTATGGGTGTGTTTTCCATTTGAGTTCTCGGTCTCCTCTGCTCCTGTTTCGTTCAGCTTCTCACCCGATATTTTTCCCATTGGCCTGGGACAAAATGAGTGGAGCTGGTTGGAAATTGGGCTTTTTTGCCCTTGCTGAAAAATGTATTTTGCTTGAGAAGTGCTCCCGCAGTGCCTCATGGGAGCTGTAGTTCAGGTGCTTTGTGCACCTATTCTCCCCTGGGGGCCAGGTGCCCTGCTTGGACTGTGTCTCCCCCTAGGAGAAAAGTGGTGCTATTTACTGGGAATTTAGTCCAACCGTCCTTTGCATCTGGAATGCATCGAATCACGGCAGCAGGTAATTTGACCATTGGAGGATCCCAAAGTGCTTTAATAAAGTTCGGCATAGAGTCGCTTGCCTGGTGATCTTGAAAACTACGCCCAGGCTTCTCCTGCCATCCTCTCTACGCCCCTTGCCCCAGCAATGCTGCCTTTCTGAATCCCGCCTTATCTGCAGATGCAGCTAATCCAGTTGGCAGACAGAATCACACAAGCACAGGCAGGTGTCCCTCTTTCGGACGCAATGGGAGGAGGTTTCAGACCTATTGCAGCTAGTTTTGTGGTCACTTTGGCAGGCTCTTGACTGGGTGCAGGCGCCTTTACACAGAGAGGCTGGTAGGAAATGAGCCAGATTTTCAGTATAACCCGGTAGCACAGAGAGGCTAGACTACTCTTTAGCTCAGGGGTGGGTAAACTTTTTGGCCCAAGGGCCACATCTGGGTATGGAAATTGTATGGTGGGCCATGAATGCTTTTGAAATTGGGGGTTGCAGTGTGGGAGGGGGCTCGGTGAGGGTTCCGGCTGGGAGTGTGGGCTCTGGGGTGGGGCTGGGGATGAAGGCTTTGGGGTGCATGAGGGTGCTCCGGGCTGGGACTGAGGGGTTTGAAGGGCAGGAGGGGAATCGGCCCCTGGGGCGCGGGAGGAGATCAGGGGTGCAGGCTCCAGGCGGCGCTTACCTCAAGCAGCTCCCGGAAGCAGCGGCATGTCCCCCCTCCAGTTCCTGCACGGAGGCACGGCCAGGCGGCTCTGCGGCTGTCCCGTCTGCAGGTGCTGCCCCCGCAGCTCCCGGAAGCAGTGGCACATCCCTCCTCCAGCTCCTACGCAGAGGCACAGCGCCGGCCAGGAGGCTCTGCACACTGCCCCATCGGCAGGCACTGCCCCTGCAGCTCCCATTGGCCGTGGTTCCTGGCCAATGGGAGCTGCGGGGGTGGCGCTTGAGGCGGGGGCAGCATGCAGAGCCCCCTGGCTGCCCCTTCGCGTAGGAGCCCGGGGCGGGGGGCATGCTGCCACTTCCTGGAGCTGAACGGAGCCACGGCACGCGCAGAGCGGGGCAAGCCCCCGACCCCCTCCCGGCTGGAGCTCGAGGGACGGATTAAAACATCTGATGGGCTGGACGTCCCCCACAGGCCATAATTTGCCCACCCCCTGCTTTAGCTCGACTGCTGGCATTCACTCCTTGAGTCTGGTTACATATGACTCCATGTCACTCTCTCTCATTTATACCCACAACAGTTCCAGTGGAGCAGCTGGCAACTTCAATGCCAAGGTGCCTGTCGCACAACTTATGCCACCCTCAGTGCCTCCTCCATTGGACCTAGACACAATGCCTCCCCCTCCCCCTCCTGTAGACATGCCCGAACCACCACCCATCGGTTTCGAGATGCCGCTCCCAGATGTCCCTCCACCATTCTCCATGCCAGGTAGGGCTTGTATTTGACACGGCTTATCCTCAGGTCGAATGCTCCCTATCAGCTAGCAACTAGCGTAGCATCCCTACGCTGAGCCGTGCTGGGATCTTTGCATCATCAGTGGCCAAGCATAGCACTGGGGTGTTACAGGCAGAACTGGTTGAAAGAGGATAGAAAACAATTTTGGGGAGAAAAAATGAAATATGGAAGTTGTTTCCATTTTGCATCAAAGCCGTTTTTTCAATTAATTTTTTTCCACAAGTGTCTGAAAAATTGTGACTTGTCGGAACGTAATGGTTTCCCCGTGCCCACCTCTTTTTGCCACCGCGTGCAATGAAATGAGTGATCTCTAGGTTTTATTCTCATTGTGACTCTGTAACCTTTTCCAAAGTTGGGGCCGTTTTTGAAAGTGACAGCCTGGCCCAAGAGGCAAATGAACCCCTGAAACTACGCTCCGTAACTTTTCAAAATGGCCCCAGCTTTTGCACGTAAAAGTGGCAGAGTTTGAGTTTCATTTTTCTTTTGGCCATGCAATAACCTTCCCCCACTGAGGAAGTTCTGTAAAAGTTGAGTGGCAAAATAAAGAAGAAAAAAAAGAAGTGGGAGAAAACAGAATAAAATCAAAATAGACATCACTTATTGTATTCAGTAACAAAAAGGGCGGGAAGACTCTGAAAATTCTTTTTTTGTTTTGTTTCATTTTAAAAAGTTTTTTGGTTTGGAAAAAAAACCCACCATTATTTGTTGAACAGAAATTTTGCCCAAATCTCTGGCCTGGTCTACACTATGACTTTAATTCGGATTTAGCTGCGTTAATCCGAATTAACCCTTCACCCGTCCACACTACAGAGCCAGTTAATTCGAATTAAAGGGCACTTAAAATCGATTTCTGTACTCCACCTCGACGAGCGGAGTAGCGCCTAAATCGATTTTGTTAATTCGAATTAGGGTTAGTGTGGCCGCACACCACCGAATTACTGTGTTTAAATTAATGGGGTAGTGTGGCCGCACACCACCGAATTAATGTGGTTAAAAACCGAATTAATGTGCTTAGTGTGGCCGCGCAAAATCGAATTTATACCAACCTGTTTCCCAAATTCGAATTTTCTAAATTCGGATTAATCCCGTGGTGTAGACATACCCTCGGAGCTCAGCTGTTGCCCCCAAGACCTCAGCAAATCTCCACTGACAGGGTGAAATTGTCTGCTGTATAAGGTGCATGCACCACTTAACATAGGAGGCTTAAATGGAACCTACGTAGCACCTAGGCCATCTGCTGGCTCTCTGTATAGGGTCAATCTAAGGTGCCACAAGGACTCCTCGTTCTTTTTGCGGATACAGACTAACACGGCGACCACTCTGAAACCCCCAGGGAAGTTATTCTATGGAGGAAAAACAGATATTCACCGGAAGAGGCTTCCCTAACTGATCTGTCTGCTCCAGTCGCAGGGTGGCCAGCCCCAAGTGTTTGCTTTTTTCTAAATCATCAATCAGGCCCCCACAAGTTGATAAGCTTAAAAATCATCCGATTTGAAAACGAATCCTGTTTGGGTTCGTTCTGATTTCTGGCGTTGGAGGCTGAAGCGGCCCTGCTGTCAAGCTGTCCTCCACCGCCCACAAGTCACCCTGGGTTTTTTTAAATGAAAGCCGAGTTTCCCGGTTAGGCGATGCCAGGTGGCGGGGCTTCCAGACAGGGACCGAGTACAGGGACAGTTGAGATAAAAACAACCACGGCTGGCAACGCTTGGCCTGGTTTGCAATTAGGACTTCATCCCCCTAGTGATTCTTTGGGGATTTTTCCCCAGGTGCCGACTTCCTGGAGCCCCTCCCTCCGCCTCCTCCAAGCTTGACAGAGTTTGAAGATTTTGCCCCTCCTCCTCCTCCTCCCCCCCTGGGTACAGAGGAACCTGCGTGGGCGCCAGACAGCTACTTGGAGAAAGGTATCTTGTCCCCCCGACCCCCTCCCCGCTTCGTTTGGTTGCAGCAGTGGGGTGGGCAAAGCTTTCTGAATGGGAGGGGGGCTACAGCTCACCAGCCGACCCCCTGGTCTCGTTTATTGATTAGATTCCTTGGGCACTGACAGCCTGGTGGTGTGTTACATTGTAGCCTGCGACCTAGCTCATCACTTGTAAAGGGATCAAAGGGCTAATACCCCTCCGCCCTCCCTCCCTCTGTGCTTCTGAGCATAAGCTGAAGAGCTGGGGTCAATTAGGGAGCCATCACCTGATGGATAGAGGGGGCAGTATGGTCCTGTAGGTAGGGCTGGGACTTAGGTAACCTTCCCAGCTCTGCCACTATCCGGCTGCGTGTGGACTTGGGGAAACCACACCCCCCACAGCCCCCGCTACTTCAGTTTCCCCATCTGTAAGGGGGATCTGTGCACAAAAAATGCTCTATGGGGGCTAATGATTTGTAGTTCTGGAGCCTGTCTCTGCCACTGCAGAGTGGAGCATCGCTCTCCTTTCACAGCTTCCCCCCAAATCAGCTTTGGGTCAGGAAACCCCGTTGTGGAGAAAGTCCTGATTGAAGCCGACCTGCTCCCACCCTCTCACTCTCTCCCCCAGCACCTTTCGGCTGAGATGCAGCTCGGCCGAGATGCAGCTCGGCCAGTCCCTTCTGACTGGGTGCAGGTTTAGAGCCCCAACCCATGTATTTTCACAATGAGCCTGGCTCCATTTCCTTCCTTCCTTCCCATTCTGAGCTCCTCCTTCGCCTTGCAGTGGTGACCCTCTACCCCTACACTCAGCAAAAGGAGAACGAGCTCTCGTTCCCAGAAGGGGCCGTCATTTACATGACCCGGAAGCACTCGGACGGTTGGTGCGAGGGCGTGACCAGCGAGGCAGAGGGGTTCTTCCCAGGCAACTACGTGGAACCTTTCTGCCGCTGACCCTGCGTGGATGCAGGAGATGACGCCACTGAGGACCAGCAGAGGTTTTCCTCCTTCACCCTCCCCCAACCTCGGGGTTAATGGAGCCCATTCTCGCTGCCAAACCAGTGAGGCCACCTCCATCCCCCTGGCTCTGGCCACAGAATTTCATCACTATCCAGTTACAATCCAGATTGATCAGATTATAGATCCCCCATTCCCCTCCGGGGCTAGGGCACAGACAGGCCCAAATCCCTGGCAGACAGCAACAGGGAAAGGTAGCTCTCCGAACCCAAGACTTATCAGGAGCGGCTTTGGAGGCCCAGGAAAGTGCCCTGGTTTGGCACTGCTACTTTCAGGTCAAATCTTAGTCCCCCAGAGCGCAGTGGGAGTTTTGCCATTGCTTACCCCTGGGGACCAGGATTGAAGCCTTTAGCATGGAATCCCTTTGCTTGAGGCTTTGCTTATTCTCAGCTCTTTTATTTCCACCCCCTAAACGTGCACCAGATCAGAGGATCCTATTCCAGGTTCCCCAGGGAGCCTGCAGCCAGTCCCTCCCCCCCACCAGAATGAATGCGGCTGAGCAGCAGAATGCTGTTGACTAGCTGGGAAGGGAGGCAGAGGTAGGCGTGTGGACTGCTCGGAGATTCCCAGTGCTCGGGGCTGCTCCAAGGCTTCCACACTCCTGACTCCTGCAGTAGCTTAGACGGTGCTTAGCAGACTCTAGTGGGTCTGACAGAGAGCCTTTTCCCCACCGCCTGGGACAGCGCCGCCCAAGCCCAGAAGTAGCAACGGGCCAGAGATCGAATCCCAGCTCCGACAGAGTCATCCGGTGACCTTGAGCAAGTCCAGTTTCTCTAGTTGGAAAACAGGCACAGTGCTTCCCTGCCTCGCAGGGCTGCAGTGGAGATTAACGTAGGTGCGCGGAAAGCCCTCCGCACAAAGCGTGATGGCAGAGCGGCCTGTGCCTCACCCGGCAGAGACATGAGAAATGGCAAATTAACTGGGGAAGGTGGTTGGAAGATAAGAGGATGTTTTGCAAGGAGCTTTGGCAACGAGACTAAGTTGTACAAACCAGAGCCAGTAGATCCAGGCTCAAATGCACGGGAATAGCCCACTTGTTTCCTGCTGTGTAATGATACCGAGCCATGTAGTACCCTGTCAGGTTGCTGCTTGGGGTATTATGAGCCTTGTCTGCAAAATGTCAGCTTCTGCTTTGCCTCCCGTGATCCTTTACTAAAAATGGCAGCTGATGGCCTTGAGGTTTGGAGTGAGTGAAAGGCAGCCCTGCCTTTAAGCCCCACCCAGGGCCTTGCCCCGTGGAATTTTTGTGGGCAACCTGTGCGCTCTGAATGCGCCGTGGGGACCCGCCTCGCTGATGTCTCGCGGCACATTGGAAGTAGAAAGGGAGGCTCATTGAACCTGGTCCTCTCTAATGCCAGGTGCTGTTGAGAGCATTAGTGAGCAGGTCCTCTGCTCCGTGCTCTTGTTCATGCCTCTCTGCATCCTAGCTCCCTCACTGCTTAGATAAAGTGCCCACTGCCAATAAAGAGTTTTAAAAGTTTGTGTCTCCCCTGGCTGTAGTGGACGGGTGGGAATGTCAGTTGCAGGTTTGCCTCTGCTTAAACGTAGCTGAAATGTCCCAGGAACATGCCTGGAAACGAGGGAGTTAACGTACCTGCACTTCCCTTTGTATTTTATTTTTTAAGGCGAGGTTTCCAAAGTGGAGATAGTGGAGCACTGGTGGTTTATGGTGCTGGCTCACCATCTTGTTGCCAGCAGACAAAAATAATGATCTTTGGGCCATTTAAAGCCTCCTCAGCGAGCAGCTGGGTGTTGAGGGAGGGGAATTAATCATACACCTCCCAGCTGGGTGTGGGAATGGCAAAAGAGGGAGAAGGAATCTTCCAAACAGCTGGCTGTATTATTTGCTGCCATAGGCACGCTCTGTAGACCTACTCAGTCACTTCGCCCTTGTCCTGTTCTATTTACCCCCCTGCTTCACGAGCGACAATGAGAAATTAACATTTGTCCGAGCGCTTGGGTAGGTAAGTGGTGAAGGGAAACACGGGGGAAAGGGCAAGCTCTGGAGTCGATTTAGCCGAAGAGCAGTCAACAGGAAAACTCTCCCAGAATCAACAGGTGACCAACAGTTACATCATCAGGGTAATGTGCAATGTTTGCGTTTGTCCTAGTTGTAGCAGCTTGGGGCCCCACTCAGAGACACCCCCGCCCCCTTTGAAGTCAAGGGTTTACAGGACTCAGGCCCTTGCTAACACCTGGGTGGGTGTGGGGTAGCTTTTGAATGAACAGCATCATTGCGAGGCGTCAGACTCCACAGGAAAAGCCAGTGGCTGAGGGAAGTGGATTCAACCTCCAAACTGCCATGTTTACATCTAATGGTCCCAGTGCTAAAACACACCTACCCTTCCCTTCATGAGCGTATTTGCCTCTGCACCTGCTAATTAAACCCATTTTACAGGGGGAATCTAATGAATAAGCCAAAGTCCCAGTGAGCCAGGAACAGATCTCCTCAAAGGCCCTGCTCCCTTTTCCTGGACCACAGCACGTCAGTCAACATACTCCTGGCGAAGCCCGGTAGTTAAGACACATGACTAATGCTTAGCCTGAACTGGTGTGTATGGGGCCAGTGCCCATGGGGGGATACTAGATACCACAACCTAAGCTAGTACTCTGGTTTCTGGCACCAGGAAACATTGTTTGCTCCCCATTCCTCCCCTACAGAGCAAACCACCACATACACACACACCCAGCCTACCTTCCTTCTGCCTCCTGGGCAGCAGCCCATCAAAGACGAGTGGCAGGGGCCAGAGACTGCACAAAGGGCTTCTCCAGGTACCACTCCCGCTGCTTTCAACTGCCTCAGGGAAAAGCTGAGAAAGTGAAGTCACAAACCTGTAGTCGCCCAGGAGTGTGCATATAGATATAGATATTAATATATTTATGATCGGTAGGGGCAGGTGGGGTGTTCATTTAAATGTCCACATCAAAATACAACATGCGCAGCAAATTCCAGACAAACGTTTCGTACCTGCTGTTGAGATTTACTAGATAACGTTCCATTTTTTTTTTTTTTTTTTAAATTCCATGGCTTTAAGTTCCACATGATTGGAGGGAGGAAGAACAAACAAACAAACTGCAAAGAGGAGGGCAAGCTGGTGCGGCTTTGGTTAGTTCTGTACTGTGCAGAGTACGCTTTGGAGTAGACAGGCTGCGGTTCATCCCGGGAGAAGCCACCCTCCTGGGCAGTTAATGCTGCGGCTGCCGAGTGCAATCATGGGGGGTGGGGGGGGGTAGTAATACTGCGGTTGCCCAGGGAGAGAATACTGACAAGGAGAGTGGAGAGAGGCTTTGATCCTCTAGCAGTCTGACCCCCAGGGGGTGCTAAGCACCACAGCTCCCCTTGCAGTCAATGGGAGTTTCAGCACCTCCCAGGATCAGGCCAAGGAAGTGGCTCCACCCTAATATACCCACCATGCTGTGAGCTGACTGGTGATTTGTCTACGGTACAAGGAGAGCTCGGCTTATGCTGCTACTTGCTACTCCAAGTGCACCGGAAGCAGCCCAGAGCTTGGGGCAATAGCTCTCCTGGGCGCTGTCCACCAGGCCTCTCAAAATTGCCTTTGGGGGGCTGCTTCAAAGCGCAGCGCAGTTCAGACAGGGCAGTCGTTAGGCTGGGTTTTAAACTAGTTCAATAAACAGGCTTTGGGATCCAGTCTGGACACGGGCTAGTGAGCACAGCTGATGAGTCACTCATCACTCAGCTGAGGAGTTGGAGCTTCTGCTTTGGAAAGCAGCTGTGTGTCTAAAAGCATTTGCGGGGGGATGCTCACTTTCATGCTTAAAATAACAACAGAGAAAGGGGTTTGTTTAAGGTACCGTGGAGAAATTTCTGCCCTGGGGGGTGAAAATGATTGTTGAAATGAAAGCAAAATAGAGGCAAAGTGTAAGGACTTGGCCCTGACCTCAGGACACCCAGGAATGGTAATCCAAATTAACTAAAGGTGCAAGTTACAAGTAGATTAGTTAAACTGTATAAAACCCCAGTGTGGACACTCTGCTTCAGAATTAAGGTGGCCTTACTTCACTTCCGTTTAATTCACTTTTGAATTAAGATACACCAAATTAAGGCCACTTCAGTTCAGAATGAGTGTGTCCACACAGGGGTTTAATGCAGTTTAACTATTCCACTTTACTTTCCTGAGTGTGCTTGTGCAAACAAGCCGCAGAAATTCAGATTCAGTGAAGTGTTTTAAATGCAAACTAGTTATACTTTGGTGGGGGACAGGGCTTTCTAACTACATGTCACACACTGCCCCCTACATCTCATTATTCCACAGCCCTTTCCCACTGTGATCTGCTCAGAGGGGACAGATTCGGAGACCTCTGCCTTGGGGCTAACGGGAGCACAGGCACTTCATAGCCTCATGAGAACGAGTTTGTTTTTGTTTCTAAAAGAATCATTTGAAAAAAGAATTCAAGGTGAAGGTAAAAATAAACATATCTGACTAACCCCCCCTCTCCTGAACGGGTGTGCAAACTGCATAGAGAAGACCTTGTCTCAAGATCGGGAGGAGGAGGGGAGAAAAGGGGACCCAGAGAATGTGCTTTTTTAAAAGAAAAAAAAAAGGAGGGGGCGGGGGAAGAAATCCAGAAGTTCAGAGAGTCCAACTCTGCAAAGCTAGAAATGGAGTCAGATCAGCCACTGGGTATGGAGATGCTCCTGAACTTCCCACTTTCCTGCCACAGTGCCCCCAAGCTGCCTCAAGGTCAGCAGGGGTCTCTTCCTACCCATCAGTCCTTCTCAGCATTTCTTCTTGAGCAGCTCCTGCAGATAGCAGCAAACTTCTACAGCCGAGTCCCAGGGCAGTACGGTGGCCTGGAAGGCTCTGGGTTGCTTTTTCTCCATCTCCTGGGTCATCTGGTGCATGGGGTAGCCCTTCCGCGGGAAAGCAATATCTGTCGAAGTCAAAGCCACGGAAGGGCAGAAGTCATTGGCTCCGTCCCCGACGTAGAAAATGCGCTCAAATTCTGCTCCCTCCTGGGCCCGCTCCATCAGGTACTCAGTGAGGATTTTGCGCTTACACATGTTTGCGGGGCACTGGGGGCACTTGTGAGTGTGATAGGGCCCCAAGGTGAGGTAGCCCCTCTTATCAAACCCAGAGGGGTTGCTAAAGATTTTGCGGAAGAGGGAGTAGACGCCGGCGGCTCTCAAAGTGCACTCGATGCCAAACATGTTGGCGTCAGAGAGGAGGATGATCTCAAACTGGTCTTGGTTCTTGGAGAGGAACTGGAAGAGCTCCGGCATCCCAGGAGACAGCGGGATGTTCTCATAGACGGTTTTGTAGTTCAGCATCTTGACCCCTTGGTCTCCCAGGTACTCGAAGACGCGCTGCATGTACTCGTTATAGAAGCCATCCCGGAAGGTCTGGCGGATGTGCTCTGGAAGCGCCTGGCCTGGAGCGGCCCTGATGACCGAGTCATCGCTGTTCTCGTTGATGATCGTCTCATCAAAGTCAAAGGCTAGGAGGTATTTTGGAGTCTTGGGGGCAGCCACGCTGACGCCCTGTGAGTTGAACCAATGAGACACAGCAGTTACTCAAGACGGGGGAGGGCTCTTTACCCCAGACACCCTGGTGATGTTAATGGAATCAATCTGACTTGGGTAGCAGAGCTATCAAAGTAACGCTATTTAGGTAAATCAGGGCTGTCTCTCCCTCTCTCCATATATTTGTCTATCCTACCTGGGGACCTAATCTGTTCCTTGTATATCTTAACCTTGACCTGAAGAGGCTTACGCACCCTGTAAAGAGATCATTTTGTCACTCTTAATCCTGGACTTTCCTACCCTCGAGACGGTCACTGTGCCAAGCTGCGCACTGGACTCATGCTCACAAGAAGATCTCGTTAACCTTAGGGCGACACTTTGACTCTGCAAAACTGCAACTGGGGCATCTGTGTTTATCTGGCTCTCAATAAGTCCCAGTCAATGTGCTGGGTTTATATGCAAAAAGTACACGGGGAGGTTGCCCCTTAGAGCTGCCAGATTTGCAGACTCACCCTGGCCTCTGGAAAGCCAAGCTAGACTCTCAGGCATCGTCCTGCCACGGAGAGATTCTGCAGGTCGAATTCTGCTACCCACATGCAACTTCCATCACCTTCAAATTCTGGGTCTGATTCACCACCGAGTCATTCCAATGACACCAGACACGGGCAGTGATGAATCAGGCCCTCGTGTCTTCAGTTACCCAGGAGCAGCCCCCAGTGCCTCAAAAAAGGGGGGCCCAAGCATAAGGGAGACCGGCGTCCAGCCCTGCCATTTGAATGTAGCTAACAGAATTTTGCTGTGGGCACACGAGACGGGACAGGACAGAATGCAGCTCAATGTCCCAGAGCCACCTTGTCTCTGCAGGGCTACGCTTAGGCACAGATTCCGCAAGTGGCAGAACTGCGCTTGCTTGGGACCCCCTGACTTAAAACAGGACTCTGCAGGTGAGACTCTGAGCACGCGGAGAGAGACGGGCAGGCTCGGGGCCTTATTTCTGTCACCAGAAGCCGGCAGCTGTGACTCTGAAAACGCACAGGGCGCAGATCAGCTGAGCCACTTTTCACGGCAGGATTGCACACCTACGACAAGGGCCCCTTTATTAAAACAGCTGCTTCATAAGCCGCAGAGGGAGAAGGAGACAGCCCTGTGCAAAGAGATCAACATGGAGAATTGCACTAACCTTAAAAAGGCATCGCAGCCCAACACCTTCGAAGCACCCGTTCATTTTCAGGACATCACTCGCCAAACACGGCTTTTCCTGCTGCTACAGTCTAAGGCTCTCTTTGTGCTGGTCACATCACTGCAAACCACAAGGGTAATTTCGTTACCAACCACTTTGTTGGCCCCCTTGCACTTTAGGGTACTGTGTCAAAAGTCACAACAGATTGCTTCAGTTCCAAAGGAAATAATCTCCCCTCCCTGTCCCGGAGGGAACGTGCTGGCCTTTCAAGCCCTACAATGAACCCAGGAATGCATGACCTCTAGCACCAAGAACTAGAACAGTTACTGTGCAGGGGAAGGGCTGAGTGGGCAGGGAGAGATTGTTTAATGCAGCCAATCCCTCTTAACCCCTTCAGATGCTAAGCGCTTGTCTACATTGCCTGGCATAGGTACTCCAGAATAGCTTTCCCAGGTGGGGACACACTTCCAGAATAAAAGTGACTTTATTCTGGAATAATTACTGTGCTCACAAGATTAAAGTCATTTTTATTCTGGAAGAGTGGATCCACATGAGCTATTCCAGAATAGCTATTGCAGAACAGTTATTCTGGAAGAGCTATGCTGGTCAGTTTCCCCATGTAGACAAGCCCTTTAAGCTAAGTGAAAACTAGGGGAGCATAAAATGCACTAGGATGTGCACTTACTCTTCCTGGATTCTGCTGACCCCTTGTGGCCGGTAACTGTAAAAACACGGCTCTATAAACAGTCAAACATGCTGGTGATTTTCCGCTGTGCTGAGTCAAAAGTATAAATGGGTGCTCAGTGCTTCTGGGAAATCAGACAGCTGTTTAGCCAAGGGACTGTTCTGGGGGAAGTGGGGAATTTGTAGCTCACGTATTCTGATTTAATGGGGAGTGAGACTTCAATCAAATTTTGTCAGCATCCTGATACACCTTTTTTTTTTTTTTGGGCCTCAAGATCATTTCTTTTAAGTCTGTTTTGTTCTAAATCCAGTTTCAAAGACTATTTTGGCCAGAAATTGTACTAGAAAGAGTTTTTGCCCTGAATCCTTGTGTTGAACTAATTGCTGCTACTAGAATAAACAACAAGTTATTTGAACATGTCAAGTTTAAAGGGACATGGACAACTACATTGAAATGTTGTTAAAATGAGCTTTCATGGAATCTAGAAACCAAAGTCATCCTTTCACTTTTAAAAAGATATCCATTGAAAACAGGGCAAACAGAAACCCAAATATTGCTGCACTAAGAATTTGAAAATGAAACTGACTATAAGCAAAAGTGAAACTGACCTCATTGATTTTCATTGTCCAAGTTGAGAGAAATGCAAAAAGTAAAGAGCACAAACATGAAAAAAGTCATTTGGATTTTTAAAAATTCTTTCGTTCTTAATAAGATTTACTACTACTAGTGGGTAGCAGAGGTGAGGAAAGGTTTGTTTACATCTGATTAAGTTGACAGTGTCCCTTTAAAATAGCGTCTATGCTTGTTCAGCAGTTATAGGCGATACTATTTTATACCAGCTTTCCACTCACAAAATTCTAATCAGTGTGAGACTCTGAGAGCCAGGGCCAAGAATTTAATGGTGGGGAAATAATTTCAGTCCAAACCCTATGCGGGTGTTAAAATATCAGCATGAAAGCAGCAATGAAAGGGTGTTGGAAGGGATGTTAATATGTCTCCATAGAAAAGCGTTACTAGTTAAGCTACACCTAAGGGAAAATGGGTCAATCCACACAGATGTGGGAAGCAAACTTGCGTTTTGAAAAGCCCTGTAGGCACCCAATATTTCTGTGTTTACTCACATGGGTAAGGGCTGACCGATCAGACCCTCAGATTCTTTAAGCTAAGCATGTCGGATTACACATGGACATTTAAAATCAAGAAAAAAATTAAAGAAGCAGGGTTGGTTTTTTTAAGTCACACTTTGGTGCCTTTCACTGGAGGATCTCAAAGCACCATGTACACAGTTGCCTCCTTTGAGTTAAGTGTTGTTACACAGCAGAAAAATCCTGGCTCGGCAATAAGTGAAAACAATTGAGTCAGTTAATTTCTATTCTTCATCCCATCCGAGATCAACAGTTCTGAGGTCTGCAACAGTGTGACCCAAGATCACACATCATGATTGTCCGCTTGTCCACAGAGGAGTTCTCGGAAAGGTGGTTGCTTCTCAGGAGATAAAATTTTCCTCTTGGACTTCCAACTTTATCTTCCCCTTAAATGTGTTATTTTCAGTGGAACAACTTTTGGAATTTGTGGCCATAATGAGGAGAATTCTAGCTACTTCTGATGAAGGCTGCACCATCGAAACATATGTAACAATACACATATCAACCTCATGTCCATCAAGGTAAAACAGTGCTCTGGGTCATTCAACCTTGATACTCACTGCAGTGTCACCCCTCCCCCCACCATTTTTACATGGGGCAAGTGAGTCATGGACACATTTAGACTGAAGTTTTCAAAGTGCCTAAAGGAGTCAAATGTCCAAAATCCATTGAGTTTTGGTGAGATTGGGTGCCTAAGAGAGGCAAGCATCTTTCAAAATCCCAGCCTAAATGACTTGACCAGGGCCATATAGGGAGTTAGTGGCAGACCCAAGAACAAATCTGGAGACGTCCTGGCTCCCGGTTCTCCTCTGTAACCAACAGCCCACACTCCCTCACCCCACAGCTTCATCAGAGAAGCTAGACTAATAATACATATTCCTAGCAGGATGTGTCAAGGTGCAGGGTTAGGATCACGTGGGAACAGAACAGACCATATGGGGCAGGGGAAAGGGATGGCGGCACCTAAAAATGCTGTAGAAAATGGTGAAGGCAGGTTGTACCTGTGCGGTTAACTTGGACATTTGGGGCCATACAGTCCCTTTTTGTAAAACAGTAACACATTACATTTCCCCTCCAAGCATTAGCAAGGAGACGTCTATCCGTCTCCTGCCCCTGTCCGGCCCCCTTTCAGAAATCCCCTGGACTGTGATTAGCAGAACCCAGTGTGGGTCTTTTGGGGCGGGGAGAGGGAAGGCAAAGGAACACAATCGAATCCCTTAAAATTAGAGGCAGTATGGCCTAATGGATAGATCGCTGGACTGAAACCTGGGTTCTATTCTTGGCTTAGCCACTGGCCTACGGGATGACATCGAGCCTCAGTTTCCCCATCTGATGATACTTCTCTGTGAAATCTTCCAATGAAAAGTGCTAATTTTTATTATTAACCCAGACGTTGTGAACACCTTGCCATTCTCATATTGCTAAATGGGCTAGGTCCTGGCTAGCTAGGGAGGGAGGGGAATGGTATGGAACAGGGTGCTCATGTTATGGAACCACTGACTCAGCCAGTTTAGCAATGAATTAAGATCACATCTGGTAAAATTCACGTCACAAGCTGGCTCAGTCTGTGCGCAGGAGGGGAGAAAACCAGTGTTTAACAGGACTCTCTCTTCTCTGTCCTGAGTTACCCCATCTAGTAAAGCAATGAGCATGTGTAATGTCCGGTGGGTGAATCAGCAATGCCACATGTACAAAGCATGCACACGAGTCACTGGTTTTGGATTTGCTAAGGGTTAACCACAGAGAGAGAGAGAGAGAGCGCTGTCCACAACCATCATCTTCCTTCACAACGGACTCAGGGCTTGAACCAAAGGTTAGTTTTCCTCCTTGCGTTCCACCCCTGCCTTTTTGAAGCCAGCTGTTGGTTTGGCTGGAATCAAACAGGCACATGTAGCACAGCTGCTCACACCTACTGCTCTCACACTATAACGCTGTGGTCAGTGTTAAAACAGAAGGGAAAGGAGGGCCTATGAACTCACAGTCAGCACACAACTTAGTTTTTTAGGCTGGCATTTCATAAGGACCCTGCTATGCACTGGCACTGCAAATTTTATCAAAAGGCTCTCAAGTGGGTATTACCCCTGCAAGGAAATTGAGGCACAGAGAGATGAAGTGACTTGCCTAAGGACACACAAAAGTCAGTGGCAGAGCTGGGGATAGAAGCCAGGTCTCCGGACTCCCTGATCCTGTACACTAGCCATTATACCACATTGTCCCCCATTTTGCTGGACAACATCCCAATAACAACCTTGGGCTCCTCTTGAAGGCAGGCTAGATTGATGTTAAAGAACTTGTGGGTTTTCAAAACTTTTAGCAACTATTGTCAACTTTCCCGCAAGAACTTTCCGCTTCGCGGCTGTGCCAAGTGTGGAGCCTTGGGTAACACTCTGGCCAGAACTATTTATACATTGCAATGACTCACCTAAGGGCTGCTTCCTGGGTGGGTGTTCTTCCACCTTCTGTAAAAAAAGTAGTCCCTCCAAAATAAAATAAAAGTGGCCGTACTTCCTAACATTATTCAAAGCCTGAATGTTGAAACAGAAAATAGAACAGAAGTGTGCTTATTAATTGCATGAAATACTGTTTTTTTGGAAAAGGTTTAAAACAAATTAAATGTGGGGCAAGGCTCATAGTGCAAAGTGGGGCAGCCATGGAAGGAAGGGTCAGGAGGAATCTGTCTCATGGAGAGGAACTGGTCATTGGGGCAGGAGGCAGATGGAGCTTCTCCCCATGATCCCTCACCTTTTTCCCCCCTGGAGTGAAGAAAGGAACATACCTCCAAGGCTTCCTACAGGATCCTCCTGTATTGATTTTGGGGGAAGGAGGGGAGAGAAAGGTCCAGCAATACTCCTCACCTTGACTATATCAATTGCAGTGCATTCTGGGGAAACTCGGTACCCTCCTGTCATTCTTGTTAACCAAGGGCCTAATCCTGTAAAGGGGTAGACATGTGAACCATGGGAGTCGTAGGAGCAGTCCCTCACCCGCATAAACCTTTACAGGATTGGGCCCTAAACTAATAAAAATCACATGAAGTCGAGCCTGCATAGGACTTCCACATGTGCCTACGTCTTTGTGGGATAAGCCATTTATTTCAGATTCTAGAATCGCTGAACTTTGGAATCATCTCAGGCCATATAAATTTCCCAAGAAGGAAATAAATAAATAAATGAATATACAGAGCATTAAACGTACGTGCAGTTGTTTTCCGGGACTCAGTCACACTGTCCCTTGTACGATCTCTTCTCAACTAGCTTTGGTCGCGTCGTGTCATTAAAAAAAAGATTCTAAGACTAAACAAAACTCTGTTTCTCTTGAATGCTTGAAACAATGAGGGAGCTTTCCGGTCCCAAGGGACCACAGGATCCAGGGGCGCCAATAGGAATTTTTTGGCTGCCCCAGGAATTCAGGGATGAGGCCCTTGACGATTAAACTTGCTCTCAACTCTTGCTCTCTCTCTGCCCAGCCTGGGTGTTGCCTAGCTCCAGACGGGGATGAAATTAGAGAGACAAGCCTCACACTTGGTAAGGCAACTCCCATCTCTTCATGTATTTATACCTGCTCCTGTATTTTCCACTCCATGCATCTGATGAAGTGGGTTCTAGCCCACGAAAGCTTATGCCCAAATAAATGTGTTAGTCTCTAAGGTGCCACAAGGACTCCTCGTACTTTTTGCTGATACAGACTAACACGGCAACCACTCTGAAAGGTGGGGGAGGTAATATCTTGTATTGGACCAACTTCTGTGGGTGAGAGAGACAAGGTTTGGCGCTTACACACAGCTTTTCTTCAGATCTGGGAAGAAATGTTATTTGAGTGCCTTCAGAATTTAGGAAGAGGTGGGATGGGGGTGAGGGAAGTTAAAAATTCCCTTCTGCTTTCCCCCATGTGTCTCAGGAGCTCTCTCAAGAAGATGATTCAACACATTTTCTCTCCCTAGTTTTGACAGTATTACCCTTACAAAGTACTGTTCTGTGGTTCTAGGGTCAGATTTAAAAAAGGTATTTAGATGCCCAACTCCCACTGAAATCAATGATCTGATTCATTCCAAACTAGTCATCAATCTGTCCTCAAACCTACTTCCTCAGGTATCCCCCACAAAATCAAAATCAACACAGACAGAGAGAAGCAGAAGACTATTTATTGTTGCCCCGAATGCAGGCAACTGAAAAACCATAGGTCCTCCTCAGCCGATTGTCAATGACACTAATATTTCCACAGGCTAGAGGACTCCAAAGGTGATCCTAGAGCCTGTTTGCCTGACTGGATACTGTTGCTTTTCAATTTATGGGTCACAAGTACAGAGGCTTAGGAACAAGATTTTCAAAAATAGGAGCCTAGAATTAGGTACCTAACAACAGAATTAGGGTTGGATTTTCAAATGTGCCTATGTGACTTCGGAGCACAAGTCGCACTGAAAGTCAACACACGTGCCTTGTGCTCTTAAGATGCCTCAGTGTTTTTGCAAATCCCACCCATAGAAGACTGAGTAACTAGTCTGATTTTGAAAATTGCCAACACCCACCAGCTTAACTTCATCAGGGGCTGTTGGTTGTTCGGCACTTTTGGACATCGGGGTAACATTTTCAAAAGCATCTAAGTAACCCAACGTCATTGGGTCTTGGGTGCTTTTGAAAATGTTACCCTAGATTGCTTATTTAGGAGCCTACATAAAGAATTAGGAGCCTAAGGTTATTAGTACTGGAGCATAAGCTTTCGTGGGTGAATACCCACTTCGTCAGACGCATGCGGCGGAAATTTCCGGAGGCAGGTATAAATATGCAGGTACCTGCCTCTGGAAATTTCCACCACATGCGTCTGATGAAGTGGGTATTCACCCACGAGAGCTTATGCTCCAATACTTCTGTTAGTCTATAAGGTGCCACAGGACTCCTTGTCGCTTTTTACAGATCCAGACTAACACGGCTACCCCTCTGATGCCTAATAACCTTAAGTTTCTCTTTTTGAAAATCTTGGACCAAATGATGATAGTTCATTTTACTTTGGCTCTTTAAGAAACTAAACACCATGACCCAAGCTATCTGGGAACTGAATTCCCACCCGCCCAGGTGAACAACAACAAAAACCACAGACAAAAACCAAAATTCAACACCCCAGATCTGGATAGTTTATGACACTGCCAGGGAGTTAAACAGATTTGTGGAAAGCTCTGGGTCAACACAGGTTATTAGGACTACATTTTTAAGATGCCCCACAGAAAATTAACCACTAAAATATTACATTAAGCTCAGTGGCTTTTGCCACAAATATCCAGGCTGCGTGCTTGATTTAGTAATAGATCTGAAAGTGCCTGTTTCTCCTGTTGCAACATTTTGGTGGCATGTGCTAGATGCCTCACAAGGAAATGGAGGCATATGTCAAGTTGGCTCAATTTTGAGTGGCATGTTGCTTGCCCTTCAGAGGCGGCAGTATTTGCAAAGCTACTTTAAAACATGATTTTTCCAATTGGTAATATGTAGCAAAGTGATTGCCTTACTTTTTAACTTTGACATTGTGAGTTTTCTTTTGGTGCTTCATTTTTAGGGACTGGATTTTAATTTACAGCGGATTCAGTTTAGTAGGGAGCTTCTAAATGTAGTGTTCACTGTTGATCTCTCTTTTAAATATTCAGTACAGTTTGAACTATCTATTCCACACGCACACAAAATCAGGCCAGATGGCAGCTGGTTTGTGGGAGTCCCACAGAAATGCCTGACCCAGAAAAACCTGGAGAAGAACAAACAAGAGGGAGGGGGAAGGGAAGCAGGGAGTTAAATAAATAAAACTTTGTATAGCAAAGTCTGTATTTGTATTATACACTCCATAATCCAGTGGGACAACCTGCTAGGGAAAGGGGATCGCCTAGGAGCTATATTTAAGGTGTCTGGAATAGAGTATTTTTGGACACATCTCAGTCCAATGTTGTTCCTGTCCTCTCCCTATCCCGGGCTGAGGGATTAATAGACGTAGTTTGGCAGTACAGTATTACTCACCTGAGACAGAGGGCAATGGGAAGAGGCAAAGAAAGCAAAGGAGACCAGGATCAGGAGTCAGAAAGGGTATTGTGGAGTGCATGCATGTGCAGGGGTGAGGTATTGGGGTAGAATGGGATTTTGGAGAGGTGGACGAAAAGATAAAAGGTACCAGGAGAGGTGGGCAGTGGTATTAGGGAATGGAGCAGGAATGGGATACTAGGGACATCTGAGAAGTCCAGAGAGGGTGTCAGAACCCTGTACACCTGGATTGGGTGCAATGAATGCAGCATTTGCAGCCCTTCCCCACAGAGTACTAGAGTCCTTCCTGGGTTGGGACCTGGTTCATCAGCGTATGACACCTGCTAAACGCTTTCCTCCAATACCAACTACCGGATCATTGTTCCTGGATCCCCACCCTCCATCCTGGTATCGGTCCAACTCACCACCCATTGCTCCTAGACACCCATACCCCTTCTGGTACCAGTGCCAACTCCTGGTCCGCTCTTCCAGGATCCCTTCCCCCATCTCCACCCTCAAAAAACCCCAAAACAAAACAAAACTTCTGTTACTAGTGTTACCTCCACGGCCTCTGCTTCTGGATACCCCTCACCCCTCCAACATCATCAATGGTACCAGTACCACCTCCTGGCCCATTACTCCTGGATGCCCCCTCAGCACCATCTTCGGGCCCATTGTCCCTAGTTACTCTCCTCCACATCTATGGTACCAGTACCACCTCTTGGTCCATTTCCCTCCCACACATACACACACACACCCTTTGCCTTCTGAGCACCCACCGTTCCCATTAACCTCTCTTGGCCCAGTGTCCTTCTAGTACAAATACCACCGCTTTGGCACGTTTTTCATGGTCCCTATGGAACCGGTGACGCGGATACCAGTACCATCCTCACCCCGCTCATTGCCCTTGGCCCTTTCTGACCTCTCCGGCACTGGGACCAGCTGCCAGGATGCAGACTCACGTGTGATCCTCTGGGGCTCGCTCTCTGAAGGGACGTCTCCAGGATCCCTGTCGCTGGGGCTGGCCCGGTTCGACCCAGTTCTGGGGTGTGACAGGGAGCCTTCAGCTGTTAACTGCAAATGGTCTCTTCTGCCCACCCCGCTTGGGAGCCTTGGTCCGGTTCGGGTGGATCACCGGGAAACCCAGTGCCTGACCCCCCACTAGGATAGGGCGGGTTTGTCCCCCGGCTCCGCCCGGTCCGGTCCGGTCCGGCAGCAGGCGGTCCGGTTCGGCCCGGTCTCCCACCACCCCACCCCGGATCTCCGGGCTCCAGCAGCCCCGCGCCCTCGGTCCCTTTAAAGAGACGGAAACGGAGCCCGGCGCTGCTACAGGGGACAACTGCAGTCCCCGCACGTCACAAACGGGCCAGCCAATGGCAGCTGCGCCGGCGCAGATCAAAGGGGAAGGGGAGACCGCAGCAGAGCAAGAGCATCCCAGCGCCCCCCCCCCCCCCCCCCCCCCGGTCTCTGCAGCTCGGGTCCCCCCTGCACCCGCCATGCGCGCATGCAAACAGCGCCCCCAGAGCTTGCCACGACCGCCTGCCAGCGGGCACCGCTGCCCCTCGCGCAGGCACAGGGGTGCCCACAGGGCTGCCACTCTCGCACGCGAGCACGGGTGGGTAGGTGCGCCGCGCTGCAGGGGGCACAGGGCCGCCCCCAATGCCTGCCCGCCTGCTAAGGGGCTGGGAGCCTTAACCAAAGGCTGCTAAACTATCTGACCGTTTTGCAGGGATTCTGCATCCCCCCCAAGTCCTCCCGCCTGCTTAATTCTTTCTCACGTGGAGCTCACTAAATTTACTGGGTTCAGAGTCGCAGCCGTGTTAGTCTGTATCCCCCAGAAGAACAGGAGGACTTGGGGCACCTTAGAGACTAACAAATTGATTTGAGCATAAGCATCCGATGAAGTGGGCTGTAGCCCACGAAAGCTTATGCTCAAATTTGTTAGTCTCTAAGGTTCCACAAGTCCTCCTGGTTTTTTCAGTCAATTTACTAGCAATTGGGGAACCGCAGGGTGGAGGTTGTCCTTGAAGCGGTCCCTGCTGCACCGCTGAAAAGGTCTTGAAACATCTGGCTTGGAGGCAGGCACGTTTCCCGGCTGTTCCGAGATAGGACACGGCCGGCAAGGCTGCCCACTGAGCCCGGGGAAGAGCTCTCTATAAAATGCTAACAAAGAAAAAAAATAAATAAGTCTCAAACCAAAGCCTGCAGGAAGTGAAGAAAACGACCTTAGCCTTTTTAACTAGCGTGGGAGGTGATGTGAACTGGGAAAAGGGAAGAGGCCAAATTGGGTAAGAAATTCATCTACTTAAAACTCTTTTGCCATTAGAAACACAGCTGTGAATCTTGGCACGGTAACGCACTAGTGAAACATTTGTACTGGGAGCGCCTGGAGCATCCCATCTATTTCTGTAAGCTTTAGATCTTTGAACTCTTTTATATTTAAGTCAAAACCCTACAACATAGCCCCCTACAAGATAGCCAAAGACGAATGATAGAAGTCAGTGTGCTTCACTGCATCTATTTCTTCCCCACAATTCATCTCTCTCTGTCTCTTTTTGGGTTCAATCTTAACTTAAAACGCCCAGTGAAAAAATTGGAGACCAAGGGGACACACATATGCAACAAGTTGCCCACAACTGGGCAATGGTCTGGTATTAATGGCTAATTTTAGATCTCAACTCTGCCACAGAACAGGGGATTACAGAGTACTCTTCCAAATCAGTCTCATACAACTGAAGACACATTAAACAAGTTTGTCCACACCCTAAAATATTGTCAACGACGCGTTAGGCGGTGCCCTAAGTATCATCTTTGGTTTTGCAGGACTTTCTAATTTGTACCATGGGCTTCAAAGATAAAAGAGAAGCTTGTTCTAAAATTTAAAGGCGTGGGGAGAGAAGGAGGGAGTGGTCAGAGCAACATGACATTAAAAACCAAATAGGAGGTTACAGAAGTATTTTTCTTTTCTTTAAAACCAAGCTTCCAAAAATGGAAGGACCAGACCAAAATCCAAAAGGATCCCCAAACAGCACAAGTCCCTGAACCCTGAACCCTACTTTTTGATGGAGTCACTGTATAGAGAAGTATACATTACACAAAGTGGTTGTGAGTTAAGCTAGATCCCCCTACCCTCTCAAACCTCGCCTTGGACTTCCACACTGAGCAAGTTTCCCACTTTTGCTAACAGGGATTCAAGGTCCACAGGTGGGAGCTGCATCAGGAGCCTCCGGCCGCCAGGCTGCTGGAGTTTTGAGCACTGTCCTGATCCGACCCTGCTGTTAGCAAGTTAGATGGCAAAGTACTTAAAATGCTGGTGGCAGTCGCTCCACACTAACATTTCCAGTGTTGCTACCACTAGTGGTAGTTACCATCACTGGCTGGTGTTGCCGATGATGGGGACTAGTGAAGACAAGTCCACTGACTCCCTTATACACTCAATCTCCCTTAGACTTAAGCATAAAGGAGTTTAATTAGCATGCCAAGGAGTCAGAAGGATGGATAACCTAAAGTAGTCCACTCCCTGCTGACTTAAACCCAGCTGTTGGTCTCTTTTCTTGCTATACTTCTATTTTCTAGCCCCTCAGGTTGAGTTACACCATCTTGAACTCTTGTACACAGATACACACACCACCTGAATTTTGTCTATGTGGGTGGCAGTCTAAGGGCCAGATTCACGACTGCCCTACATCCCCCTGCTAGTGGATAGCGCCAGTACATCCTCTCCACAGAAATTCCCAGTGCAGGCGGCATTCCAGGAGCAGGTCAAAGGAAGGGAGGGCCATGCTCCAGTCCTGTGTCCCAGATTTCTCCCACTGCTGCAAACCCCTGCAGAGCAAGTGAGAACAGCTTTCTCCTGCATTGAACTAATCCCCGGAAACCCCAGAATCGATGAGATGCAACCCATCTCATCTGTCCCCGTGTGAACACAAGAATTCCCTGTAATGGTGTAACATGTTGGCGTGCAAAGAAACAAACTTACATTTACTTCTCTTTGAACTGCGGTCACTGTTCTGAACGTGGGAGAGCTTGTGTGTAGTTTTACCAACTCAACCACAAACCCAGAAACATTCACACATGCATGTTCCTTCCAGCTGTTTTTCGCCAACCCTTTATCATATTTTCAAGTGGTAAAAACCGAGGCAGCTTTAAGTCTGAATGGGTTCAGTGGCCTACAAGAAATGAGTTTGGTGTCTCAGCCCAAGTGTCCAACACAACTGGCATTATCTGGGGAGAAGGCCCCAAAAGCTTAACTATTTCTAGAGGTAGGTGATCTCTACAGCACAGACCTGAGCTACACTGACAGGAAAATCAACTGCAGCTACATTCACATGGTGCCAGCCTTTTTCCAATACAAAATTCCCATTACCAATGTTTCTTTTACTATCGTCAGTGATTTAGCATCTGCATAAAATGTATATGCTCTTATGCCCCGGTGGCTAGGACACTGGACAGGCTGGTATATCTAGTCTATAGCCAGTTTTTTCATGGACTTACTGTGTGACCTGGGGCATCTCTTCCCTGTGCTTCAGTTTCCCCATCTGTAACACAGGGAAAATACCTACCCACCTTGGTAAAGCACTTTGAACTCTATGGATGAAAAGTGCTATATAAAAGGTAAGTATTAGTCAACTGATGTAATGCTACAGTTAGATTTTCAAAGGTTTCCTTGGCTGGGAAGTAGCCTCATGGTGTGCAGGGTTATTGAAAAGGACTACCTGCTGCTGACTCGTGTTGCACACCAAATGCAATTAGTATTGAATATCGCGCTAAGCATTTCATTAAGAAGGCGAGAGAAAGAAAAGGGCAAAAATGAGTAAAGAACTCCAAGTCAGGGTGTTGCTAACTGAGCAGTGGTGGAAAGGCAGTTTGAAGACTACGGCCTACACATTTAAAGTGTAGATTCTCAAGAGCGACTACAGAATCTGCTGGCTAAGAGTCTCAAGGCAAAAGCCACACAGTGTATAAGAATAGCAGTCAAGAAAGCATGTAACATAAGGCTATAATTCCATGAAGGGTTTATACAATAAAAAGTCACAGAGTGAAGCTGTAATGGATTGTTAAGGGAATGCCAAGTTATGATTATGCAGCCTTACATAAAATAGGCAACAAGAAAGGGGCCACTTATCAGCTGGCAGAGGTTTCAGCTGTGGTGGTACATATGTATACGCAGCAGTACAGGTCAGCCCTGGTTAGCCAGTTTAGCCACCCTCACACAGCAGTATGGTGGTGAAAAAAGACTAATAAAGCTCCTTCACAGCAATGGCAGTTCACACTGTAAAATAAGACCATGCATTTCTACACATTTAATCGGATAGCTGACCTCTCGTGCATGCAAGTAAATTCAATCTTGTTCTGTACTATCCTATCAATTCCAAACTAGGAATCACTCCTCCCTCTCTCTTTCCCACAGGGAAGCCACAGATACTATCATGATGGATGCTATTAAAAAGCCTAGACAGCCAGGTAAACGACATACTTAGTGCTTGCTGGAGCCGGATGTTTGTAGATACTGCTAGAAAACCCAAGAACAGCACGCGCAGGAATCAGATTCAGTCTGTGCAATTCACAAGTGGTCAGACAATCCTGCTGTCAGAACAGCTGCCATGAAAACGGCTGTAGTGTCACAGAAATTGAATTGTGGTGCTTTACACTAATTAAGAAAATTAGGTTACAGGTGACATTAGCATCCCCAAAGAGAGAACTGTAAGCATGAATTTAGGAAGCAGTGAAAGTTTAGTGGGATTAGTATGTGATCACTATTTTGAGAGAACCAAGCCCAAATAGTAGAGCCCTACTAAACCAGTTCGTTCCTTCACCCAGAGGTTCTACATCAGCACCAAAGCAATGTGTATCCTCATTTTGTCTCCTTAGTTTGCTTGTCTTAGGGTCAGTAGCAGGTGTGAATCAACTCCACCCACTATCGTCTTCTAGCTATCGCTCCAGAACTTGTTCCTGTTGCTTGTTCTCTCTCCTCCAGTTCAAAAGTGGATCCCAAATCCCAATCCCCTGTTGGATGCTTTCCCCAATCACTAGAGCTTGGGAGAAACCATGAAGTACTGTACAATGGTCCTAGCAAATGAGGAGTTAATCCAACTCACGCTAGGACAAGCAGTCTCTACAGTTAAACCAGCCTAAACCATACGCTCCATGGCGATCCAACGTTCATTTCACTAGCAATGAGGAGGGCAATCAACCAAGGATGTCTGTACTCTGATTATACAGGC